ACTTAAAAGCACACTGCTCACATATTTTACATATAATAAGGACGGTATATTCAAAACTTAACACAGACACACCGGTCAAAAATGCCCATTCTTCGGTTATATAAGTGACCTGAGAAAAAACCGGTACAATGGGAATATGATCGAGATTTGGCCGGGTCACTTGTTCAAGACATTGCATAAACTTAACCAATGAGGTTGGACTAGTTTTTTATGTGTATTCCGATGATTTATATTGATGTATTGAGGTGATGGACATCGAGACAATGAAACAAATTAATGTCCGAATCCCATTAATAAGTTCTTAATTTGGTGCCAAGCATCACGTCTGTTAATCCCTTAAGGGGGTATGCGAAGATTAACTAACAGTGCAATCACGTTCTGCTAATTGTGTCATTAATTATGCACACTGTATTAAGGGATGACCTTAGAACATTAAGGATATATGACTAAAAAATAAAAGCAACTAATTGTCATTATAATTTCTTAAATAAACCAAAGACCTGAAACAAAGACTTTGTTACTTACGTACCTAAGGGTTGATTTTTCAATAGTCAGATAAATGTTATCTGATGAATAAAATTATTGCTGTCACTGTCTTATATAAACATTCTGACGTGATAGCATCATAATAATCACCCAGATACTAACTTTTAACAAACATTGAAAAATCAGCCCTAACATATTTAAAAACTTAACCGCTTTGGAATAAGCGAAGAATTCGCAATTCAAAATTCAAAATCTTATTCACGTTATTTTCGAAATCTCTTCCTATAAGTATACAAATAATAATATTAAGTACTACGCAATAGTAATAAATGACCTATCTCTGTGACAAATAAAGCAATTATGTTAATTCAACCTTATTTCCATATCAAATTAGAAACCCAATAAATTATCAGAAGTATTCTAATTATTGCATTCTGCTACAAAATGTCAAGGAACTCTCATAACGCCCACAGCCAACATTAATTGATCCATATTTGACTAGTTCTAGACTGTTCAAAAACATATCTGTCTAATATAATAATTATATAAGCCTATATACAATGAACCTTGGCACATAATCGTAATTATTAGTCAATAAAACATTAGCTAAATTGAGAAAGATGTTGTCTAAACACAATAAAAAAATGGCATTCAGTAGCTTTAAAAATGGGGCGATACTTACCTGATTAGGAATCGTTTTAATCTCCTTTGTTTTTAAACAATATTGTGAAAGGGTGATTGTCTGTAATAAATTTTACTAAAGGCCGTGAACGAAACATAATTAGAAATAATACATATAATAATAATACATACAATAAATCCGCAAGGCAGCTTGTGGCGAGCTGTTGGGCAGTGGCGACCCCACGGACCTGACTCCCGGGAGGTGTCTTGTTCTTCTCTCTCCGGTTAGTCCTCGTGACGAGCTGGAGTGAATACTGATGAAGAACAAGCCTTCCTACCTCATTCTTGCCTTAATTGGCTGGCTTGAGTGGAGATTCGCAAGAGTAGGAGTTGAAGGAGACTCGGGGGAAGGATGTATCTCAGTAAGGTGCTGGTAGGGGTCTTGACCGTACTTCCGGGATTGCTCTGATAGCCGTGGGATGCCTCTCCTTCCCCAAGCAGCTCAACGTATGTTGCCTCCGTGTCGCTACATACTAGCGGCCGTTTCCGGGGGCCCATTAATTGAGTTTGCCAGTCACCCCCTGCCTGTTTATCCGTATGTATCAATATTGGTCAGGGGCAGGGACCATAGTATTTCCATAGTTATCATATCCACCAGTCCATAGCAACCCATACCCATAACCCTTTCGTTTATTACCACAATTCGCAATAGTCCTGCATCAACCGGGGATTATCCTTGGGTGCACTTTCATAGTGCCAACAGGGATAATTGCCGGCTGATGTCCCATCACATTTAGATTAAAACTGTTCAAAGGGCCTCTGCGAGTTGGCTTCGGCCCCTCGTACGCCTTCCAAAGGTCCGGGATCCTATGATCCCGTGAACGGAAACGAACATACAATAATACACACAGTAGAAATAATTTCAAAATTACCAATGACAGCTATAAATTTCATTTTTAAAACGTGTAAAGTTTAATAATTTAAGTTAACGATGTTTTTAAATAACCATTAATGTCAATACGAAACGACAAAGAAACACTTCATCGACGTCTCGTACATCGATGGAACATTATTTCGAAAGAACGCTTTTAAGTAACTTTGACATATGAATCATCCTTTATAAGTCTTTTACCGTGTACGACACACATACAAATATAACATCAGACCTTTTATTTCATATGGTGTTGGCCAAAGGCGCTCTATAACAATGTACCCAAATACAAATTTGGCCCCAATTATGTTTTTAGACCAATAAATTAACGACTTTCTGATCATATACATATATGACACATAACATAAAAATCACTTCCAGAAAAAGTTTTCATAGAAATTACAGATGGACAATAATTGGTACTGGACTGTAGGGCTCAAAAGTTAACATTTTTTTCTTCTCAAACGTTTTTTTTTAAATAGGAATCAGAAAATGACATTCATACTGCATAGTAACTTGTAATATATACAAAGTCAAAATAATAGACAAAAAAACAGCAGTCTTTCATTGTTCGCACTTCAAACTAAATAGTTGCGCTACTAGACATTGTATTCAATCTTAGATTAACAGAAAATATCTCATACTTGGTACAAGGTCAGGTCACAAAACAATACTTATATTACAATAGGACACTTACTTCATAATTTCAATGTAGGTAATTAAATGACAAAACAACAGCATTAGGTACAATTTTAAATGTAAATTTTATTTAAATCGTTGCTTGTACACTTTTAAATTATTAATTTATTCATTCTCGCATGTCGCACGTGATTATAATCGTTTTAATAGAATATTTAAACAATAGTAATGATATTAATTTCTGACATGCTTGTCAAGTGTACTTGATAATACATGAAGAAAAACATGTCATTTTTGTCTACCGAGGTGAATTAAGTAAAGAATGGCCACGCTTTGACACGAATAGGTTCATAATCTTGGGTTGCTTTGCATTTAACCGTGCGGTTAAGGTTACCAGTCTTCCGATCCTCCCGCCCTTATCCTCAATTCTCAAATCCCTTTGCCTTTATAGGTCTGCAATGCAATAGCAACTCCTCTAGTGTTTTATGCTTCTATTTGCCGCCTTATCATGAGGAAGAGCAATGTTAAGTAGGCCTATGTTCCACTAAGCACTGTGAATTTTGTACATGATATGATAAAGATAATTCTATCAACACGTCAACTGTAATCTATTTGGACGTAGTAAAAAAATTAGACCCAAGTATTCATAAGTACCATTAAAAACAATTAAATAGAGCTGCAGTTTATCCGGGGTTGCGGGTCCAGCGCATTAATATCCCCGGCACGGAGCAGGTGAAAGAATGGGGTGGTTTTAGTCAGTACGATAGTGACTACCCAGCGCAAGAGAAGGCATTCAATGATATTCCTCTCTCAAAAAAAGTACTATTATGTACCTTAGAACCACTGATACAATTATGGGAACAACGCAAAAGGAATTAGCCCGGTAATACGCATACATACCTGTCCTAGCCTGGTATCAAAATCCCTCTAATAATAACAGTTATAAAGAGAGGCAATATAAGAACTGCTTATCCGAATTCCCGTAAGGGATAATTTGATCCCATAAAAGAAAACAAAATACGGCTGTCCAATCATAAGGTATTCAAATGACCGACATTCATGTTTTATTTTACATTCAAAACCTCCGTAACTCAGATTTAAATCAAGTCCACTTTGTAAACCACCATGATGCGTCACATTCCTCCATTAAAAACCCTTTCATTGGATCCCAAAGCCCTAATCAACTCTTTCATTCTCACAATAAGGTTTAATTTCGATAAACTTGTGTCTGATGTACTATGATTTCAATTTGCTAGTTGTAAGCAGTGATTTGGCAAGGTGTAATGACTCTTAAATATGTGAGGTTAAAGGTCATTACGTGAAAATAGTTTTGATGTTTACTTCTTATTGATAAATAGCATCAATTTGTAATTTGTAGTTTTGTATTACAAACTCTTTACTGATTTATTTACTAAAGTATACCTACCTACCTACCTATATTTAATCCTACTGAGAAGTAAGTTTAACTGCCACTGCTGGACAAAGGCCTTCCCCTTAGTTCTCCTCGTCAGGCGATACATCGCCACTTGGTATCAATTAGCACAACAAAACTTACTTAAGTAAAAAAGCTTATTTCTGAACTATACCAAAAACAGCTGCACTTTTCCACTAACTACCCATTCTATAAAAATAATAAGTAAGTACCATATTCTGTAGACATGATATTCATATGATTTAGTTGACCAATGCGCCGGCGGAATGATCAAAATATACACAATTATACATTTTCACAGTTCGTTACCTACATCAACAATTGTACATTGTATCAATATCACAATATCTTCTATGTAAACGTATCTATTCAATTAATACATTGTCCTATGGCAATCAGGCCGTGAAACACTAAAATAGATTTTTGCCATAATACTAGGATTCTGATCTGCTTTCATTGTTTGGTGGATAATGCAAATATAAGACCTATTTACGTAGTTGTTTTGTGTCTGTACACTATGTAAAATCCGTCACTATTGTAATTATTAAATAGGAATACTAAACATCAAATATCAATATAATATCAAAAGCACTTTTTTACTGCGTATCTTCAAAGAAGTTGACTAAGCTAAGCATTAGTATAATAAAATTCTGCACACTTATTTTCGTTTAACAAGAAGGAAGAATTGAACTTCTAGTAAACTTACTCACACAGCTAAATACAACTCTGTGGTTGTTTCACACCGGTTTTTTGTGAGGCTGTGGTATCACTACACGCAAGCCGGCCTAATCGTGCCGAAGCATAGCTCTCCCACATTTAAAATCTTCATGTACCTGTGTAGGCCAAATGCGGCTTATAAAGATACTTAAAAAAATCTTTCGCTCTTTCCAGATTGGCCAGGACACTTAACTTACGACCAAATATTCAACAATACACACTACGCGCAGTTACAAACTGTGTACAAGCCATACACCGCAGTCAGTAGTTTTAGCAGCCATCCAAATAGTCCTAAGTTCATCCATAATGACACCAGAAGTAATGAGATTGAAGAACGGCCGTATTATAAGGATCCTAGCGGTCCACTCCTGGTTGGATTTGCTAGGGATCCGTTTAGGTACTCTGTGCCAGAAGATGATTATAGAAAAGGGGTCAGGTGAGTTTTCTCATATATTGGATTCCACTACTAATTAAAGAAGGTAATAAATACCTAACACTTGATATATTAGATATTTTAGGCATACTGCTTAAAAGGACTGTAGATTTCTCACTTTCTAGTCATTTTGTGAGACAGAAATCGTCAATTCAACTCGAACAAGCGTGGTCATTTGTCTTGGTGGCGCGGAGGTTAAGGCGGCAGCCTCTCATATTCGCGCGGGTTAGACCTGGCAACTGCCAATGTCACTTTTTCCGAGTTACATGTACTTTTTGTGATTATTTAGAAACCACTAACAGGCGAAGTAAAACATTGTGCGGAAACCTGGAATTATAATTTCTAACTATACATTTGAAATTGCCAATCTACCTTATGCAAACGTGGTGATTAATGGTCAAACCATTTTTCTCCGTACGAAAAGAGGCCTTTACTCAGCAGTTGATATGACGTGAAGCGTGGCCATGAATGTGCATGTATTTCCGTGTAAATGAAACAACTGACAAGTAGTGGTTCTATTCATGAGACTTGTTATTATCAATATTCTACATTTTCTTCTATTTTTTCAGAAACATAGATCCCCAAGTATACATGAGTAAGTCGGAGAACCGTGGCAAGCGCGGAGTGTTCCACCTGTACAACATGTTGTACTGTGCCACTGGCTGTGATCCTCTTGCTTATAAGGGCTATGGATGCTACTGCGGCTTCCTTGGGGAAGGGAGACCTACTGATGGTATTGATAGGTTAGTATGTTTTTCCTCAGTTACAATTTCCTGCATATCAATTCTATATTTTTTTATTTTGAATCTTGTTCAAATGCGAAGTGAGCGTCATAGTGACGGGGAAATTACATTGTAAAATGACACTTTTAACGTCATCTCATACTTTATCTATCAAAATGTTGCGATCAATTTAGTTCAACTCGCAAGTGTAGCGCTAGAGTACCTACTACTTCTCACTGCGGATTCAGATTCGAAGTTTAGAATGAAGTCTTACAGGATCAAACTGCTGATTCTATTCCTTTATATAGTTACATGTATTGCATGCATGTATTTTTCTGAACAATTTAGTCTAAACAATCTAGTAAACCTTAACTTAAAAATGTGATCTCCAAGCCACCGGGTAAGTAAGAACCGTAGTTGCAGGGCAAGCGCTATAAGGAACCGCGGCCTCGGCCCGGAGCAGGAGAAGGAAAGGAGGGTTTTTAGTCAGCAACGGCCTTATACAATACTGTCACCCGCTACTGCTACTCAGCTCCATTAGATCGTAGCGTGATGTTTTAAAGCCTCTAGCACTCAGGAACATTGTAGCTATCTATCAGTGAAAGAATTTTGGCAATCTGACCAGCGGTTCCAAAGATTACCCCCTACATACAAACTTACAAACATACAAACTTACAAATGTTACTCTTTATAATAATAGTAAACGTTTTTGAATATCAAATTGAAGTTAGTGGATTAATTCTAAAGTTAACCTTATAATAAAGAGGAAAGAGTCTGACACGCCACCTCACCTACCCGGGGCAAGAGAAGTGATCTGATGATTTTTCATCCACTAGAAAATGGTTTGATATTTGTATCTCTACAAAAATTTCTAGATACCGTAAGTTCGGGTTACTGTGACCCTGGAAGGTCCAAATTTTCGAACCAATGAAAAACGAATATATGTTTGGTTCTCAGTTATTATTGGTTAAAGGGTTTGGATCAAAGTTACCCTGCAGGGTCAAAGTAACCCGAACTTACCCGGTACATTAGTCATTGTTAAAAGTCCATTATAAGTAGGTATATTTCTTTGTCCAGGTGCTGCAAGCTTCACGATCAATGTTACGAGAACATTTACTGTCCGTTCTACACGGTGTACTTACAGCCTTACTTCTGGAAGTGCTACCACGGACAGCCTCTGTGTGCGTTAGAGAACTTTGACTCACAGCATGAGTTCATCAATGGTTGTGCTGGACGACTCTGTGAGTGTGACAGGTAAGATAAGAATCCTTATAATCTTCAACACATACACCTTTATATAAATATGACCATAAAACATTGTCATATAACTTTATGTGTTTTTGTGTCTTTCCTTCGTCCAACTTTATTTTTATGTCTAGATGGCGCTAGTGAGGTATATGGTCTAACAGGCCTTGAATTATCATCGCTTCTTCTAAGGCAAATAAAGTAATGTTAGCTCAACCGTTTACCAAAAACTGACTTACGTACCTTTATATTATTGTTATGAACATCATTTTTTTATTGCAGACAATTCGCGATGTGTGTGAGAAGATATCGATGTCCTCGAAGACGGGCTCTGTGTCGATCCTCACCGATACGATTGCTGCAAAATCTACTCATGTTCCGATGACATAAGCAAAAATTTTACTCGACTAAGTAATTAATTCTGCTATATTGGGTTATTCGTCTATTTATAGTCAAAGGCAATTGGGATGATGGCAGGGAATAAAAATAAAATTCAATAGAACCATAAACAATCTATATTTTTAGTATAAAGAGGTTAAATTTGTAAGTACTTATAATTTCAGAACCACGGGTCGGATAGATTTCACTACAATTTTTCGGTGTATATAGACTATAAATTATACTTCATTAGCGTATTTTAGTTGATTTATCGCTTTAAACGCTGCTGATACGTTACTTTTATACGCATGCGAAGCCCCAGGCGAAAGCTAGTAGATACTGCATAACGTTACCTCGTAGTAAAAATGTACCAAATCGTGACGTCACACGATATTTAAAACTGCCTTGTCATCGTTATTTCTAGGAACAATATAACTCAAGTCGAAAGAAAATAAAAGGGCCGTTCGATTTTCAAAAATCCTTTATCTTGATTGCCACGGTAGCCATTTTATTTAACTTTAGTACCTGGTTATTCCAAATATGAATTTTGAATTATTATTTTTCTTCTTTAAGGTCATATTATTCTTATGCTTATATTTTTTTTTCTGAGTAAAATCTCCTTTATAACAATATTGTACAAATTTATTCTATAGTTACCAAGTCATTCCTGTGGAATGGTTACCATAGTTATCGTAATGTATTTAAAATAAATATAAAATAAGACTTGTAAATAAACAAATTGTAATTACTTACGCGTAGGTTGTTTTATTGTTACTTGTAGAAACCGATGGCTTACCATCGAGTAACCTATCAGATCCATTACAGGCCCATCCCATAAAAAATATAGTAAGTACCTAGTCCTACACGTCGGCAAACGACGATTACTCACTTAGGTACAATAACTGCGTACCTACAAAAAACGCAAACAAAATAAATGAAACTTTCACACAAAACTAAAATAATGTCGTAACAAATGGGTAGTTACTGACACACACAAATTACAGGTAGCTATATATACGCACCTACATAAGTACCTCCATATAGGTACAAAACACAAAAGAATTAGATTAAAATCGTTGTAATACTTTCCAAAAATTGCATAAATCTGGTTTATTTTTTTTACATTGTAATGGTTGGGACGCACGAGTGGCGTATCTTTGCATCTGTAGCTGATTACCTCAACTATTGTATTAAGCACACAATACAATGTATAAATGTGTCCCACGATGAACTGGCTCGCTTTACCTACACAGCAAGTGAAACTACCCCTAAATGTCGAAATACCTACATTAAAATAATTTCAACCTTATGATTTTGTAATAAAGTCGTAAAATTATTGTAGGAATTGAACTGCTTGAGCTAGTTTTACGTGCATTTGTTTGTACTAGGATGGTCCTACCATCATAAATAACAGGCCACTTAGCAAGGTTCAAAGTTCACTTTAAGGCTCCAAAAACAATGAGTTTTTCTATAGGTATCCAGTCTTCTTAGTCTCAGTGTCGTGGTGGCCCGGAAGTTAAGGAGCCAGCTTCTCATGCATGAGCATGAGGGTATAGGTTCGAAACCTGGCAAGTACCATTGTGCCTTTTTCCGAGTTATATGTACCTACTTTCTATGATTATTTAGACACTCGGTACTGATATACGGTGAAGGTGGTACCGTGAGGAAAACTGGACTTATAATTTCTAATTATAAGTTTGATATCGCCAACCCGCATTGAGCAAGCGTGGTGATTAATGCTCTAACCTTCTTCGTATGAGAAGAGGCCTTTGCTCAGCAGTGGGCACTTATAGGCATCAGCCTATAAGTGCCCACTGCTGAGCAATCCAATCCTCAGTCTGCTCAACATCGACGCACCGCATAAAAAAAAACAGTAGGTTTATAATGGGAATTGTGCTGGTTGCAGTTTGATTACATCCTGTCACATACTAATGTTATAACCGCGAAAATGTGTAAGTATGAATGGGTAAGTAATTGGTACTCTTTCACATAAATACTACTTTAATTACCTACATTTTATTGTATTGAGATATTTTTCAAATCCAAAGACCCTTACTTATTTTACAATTAGGCAGCAATCTTGCCTGCTCACACGCTTAGAAGACTTAAAATATCTACCAGAATAAAAATAACAAACGATTCTTTCAAATTTTAAACATAACTGGCACCCACTTCATACTCGACAAAGGAACAGAAACAGATCCAAAAATATCACTGATTAGAAACATAACAACAGTATATTTATTTATAAAACACTGATCTTGATATCAACCCTTACCTTTTCCAAGCGATTGGTCAATAAAGCCGGCCCTACATGATCAGCTGATATCTATACACAAAATCATAACATACAAAATACGTCTACGTATAGGCTATCTCCATCATTTTCATATAAAACGAAAGAGACAAAAGAGAAGGGATTTATTGAAGTGAAAATACGTGATATGTCCGAGACTTGAGTCTGATAAGAAATTCACTGAGATTGAATGGTTACGTGTAAATAGGATTATGTTTTAAGATGAAACAATAGGTACACTTATCTGATCGTTATAAGTTAAATTCTGCTTGGTAAATATTAATATTCCTAATCCATTACCGTCACTTAGCAAGTCAGTAAATTAAAATACCTTTCTTTTGAGGGGGAGGAAATCATCAAATGTCATGTCTCGCCCTGTGTGGAGCGAGAGGAAGTCTCAGACTGTTATTGACCAAAAACAATGCGGCTGGGGCGCGAGGTGAATAGTTCCCTCACACGCTTCGCGCCCTCCTTTGCGAGCAAGACTGCTTCCACAGTACAGTTCCTCTCGCTTCGAACCATGGCCTCGACTAAGGCCCCTGAGGACACGGCGGTGCTCAGCCCAAACAGGGCACACCGCCACCTTATGCTCCACCGTGTCCTCTAGGTAGTCTTCACAATGTCGACACTGGGGCGTTTCCTCCCGCTGGATCCGAAATAGGAACCTACCGAAGCTACCGTGCCCGGTAAGCACCTGCGTCAGGCGGAAGGTGAGGACGTCGTGGCGTCTCTCAAGCTACTCCTCAAAGAGGGGTCTTACAGCTGCTATAACAGCGTGCCCGGCCATCGGTAGCGACAGTCGTTCCTTCCACTCAGCCATTAGATCTCGCCGGAGCTCATTCAGCCACGCACAAATTTAGCGCGGCAGAGGAACAATATGGACCCTTACGGACGTGACTACAGCATCAGGCGACGCGTTTTTATATACACAATGTCAAGACGACTCAAATAATTTCCTGGTCCTAATAAATAATAAGACAGATCGAGATGAAACAAATTTTAATGGGGCTATACTAATGCTACCAGGTCGTTTAAAACAAAAAAAATAAAGCATTAAAAGGATGATTTTATTGAAACAATGAAACAATGAATTTATTTTTGCAAAAAGGGCATAAAACGGCACTTTTACACGTCAAATTATATGTGAAAAACTACATGAAGCCGGCATTTCCCATCTGACTACTCTGAGAAGAAATGCCGAAACAAACTCAGAGGTCAGTCTCTTTTCAAGTCCAGACAATGTAAAATAACATAATGTGAGAGAACCGTGCAAGTTCATTCTGTAGTGGTCTTTTGAGGAAATAACCACACCAGTTTAAGTGGACCCGTTCTGAAGACAGGCACGCAAGTGTCAGTTTGCAACCAGTAAAGCTAGTGCTGCTATGCTATTAAAAATGTATTTCACGAAATGAAAAATCTCAATATCTCCAGTTTTTTTAGTTTGCTTTTGTTTTTAACAAAAGCAAACTAAAGATCTATAAATGCTACAGAAGTAAACTAAAAACTTCACGAATTTCAAACCAATCTCAGCCCGGGAACAAGCATTTGTAGATCTCATAAAGAGTAGTACCATGTGGGAATCGAAACCGTGAAACGTTGTCCACACTAAGCAATTAAAAACCTCATAAGATAAGTTCCATAATACTCACTCATCAGTGTATGGATTCAAAACATGGCTGAAGCCAATGTGTTAGAAAGTTCGTAAATAGATCAATACTACGATTTCACCAAATCCAAGGTTAAAATAATCAATCACTGAAATAAATCCTATTAGCTTATAGATACTCTTTATCTAACTATTAAGAAGCCCGCATACGCTTATAGATACTAAGATTTACTTTGCTTGTAGATGTTTAAGTAAATTACGTCTCTATTAATGGTCTCAAGTTGTTCGCTACGGGAATCGAAGTCGCGACACGTTTCATGAAGCTGATTACCCAGCCACCGCGTCAACGCACAATTGTACATTATGTAAGTGGTACACGTAACTATGTAGATATATAAATTACTTATCTGAGAAGGTCATATTTTATATCTGGATTGCATTGTTTGTTTTTTCTTTGGCCGCAGTTATCGTGAGACGGTAGTTCGTCCAGACATTGGATGATTTATGATTTTTTCCCCTTTGATTTCGTTTCGTCTCTATATCATTCTATTACTCACATCAAAAATTCCACTTAAAAGACATACCAACCACGATATTAAATACACTAATATTTTTACAGAAAATTACGTTAATAAATTCACTCAATTGATTCGATAACAAGCTACTAACTTCAGCTCAGTTTATGCAGATCCGAGATTTCTATTGACAAATGAAAATTAAAAATCAAATTGAAAATTACGGAGTATATAATCAATAAAAGTTCACGGTGAATCAATTCCTAATTAGCTGACTATGTCAAGAGCAAGTGCATCGATAATTTCGCTTTTTCAAGACACCACAATCTCTATGCATAGTTATTTCATAATGTCCATAGAAATTAAATCTGCTTCACGTGGCTGTGGTGGTACTTATAAAAATATATCTGAAATTGTATTCAACAAATATGTTTCTGAAAAATGTAAGTAGTTACGAAACTCATTAATAGTTGTAGATTAAAGAACATTCTATGTATCTTCTAGGGGCTGGGACGTAATGAGGATAGTTCCCTACAACTCCTACTTAGCTAACATGACTGCTTAGCAAAGAAACAATTAGGCCTATTGACCCCCTAGTTCCTTACGCTACGCACCATGGCCTGAACTGAGGTCGGGCGCGAGAGGTGACCAATAAGAGGCAATGCGACCGCCGCCAAGGGTGGGAAAAGTCATTGGATGATTTTTCCCATCAACCCTCAAAAACGTGTTTACTTGAGGTCGTTATCCAGTCTCTATTAAATGTGTCCATCTTAATAAATTCGTTGAAATATTGAATTTATTTTATTTGTAAGTAGGCACACTAAAACTTAAAAAAAACACCTACTTGTTTGCAGATGGCCGGGTTATTCAACGTCTTCTTAATATACATAGCTATAACAATATTACTAAACGAGTGTAGATCTGATCCAGCGAAACCGAACTGCCTGCCAAACTCGACGCAGATGATAAGAAGCAACGCCAATGATACAGACAAGGACAAGAAACCTGTTTGTGTGGTCTACTGGCCGTATTTCTTCCCTTACTATTACTACCCCGCCTTTTACCCTACGTACTATTACTATTACCCTTATGTCTATTTCTATGGCTAAAGTTTTAGTTAAACTAGTTACTTATAGATAAAATATGCAGTTTTAATTCCTCCTTTAGTTTCAATTTCTTCCAAACTCCTTTTCGCCCGCATATAACCGAACGCGCAGCGGATATGCAATAAAAGTGGAATTCTAAGAGTCTCTTACTAAAACCCATCTCGTTTCTTCTCTTATTCCGAGCCAGATAGCGGCATAATTTCGCTAGACACATAATTCATCTGTATAATAATAATAACTCGCAACTCCGGCTGGACATAGGCGCTAGTGAGGGGCCCACTAAAGTGATTTGATGACCTTAGAACGCTATGCGCCGACACTCGGGTCTGATTCTGGTCGGGCGAAGGGCTACCATTACTAACCAGACATCATCGAGCGATCCACGACGCCTGACGGTGGCAATGGCGTGAGAAGAGTCGTTCGCGTACTCCACCTACTCTTAAGGTTGCCTGACTGCTTCGCAGAAGGAGGAGACGGTTAACCAATTCCTCTGACTCCGCACTATGGCCTGAACTAAAACCGGGCGTGAGAAACAGCCGCCGCTAACCGCTTCCCTGAGGACACGGCGCGGCAGCTCAGCCCACGCAGGGTATTGCTAGGGTACAGTAACACAGTCTCTGACTGCGCTTCGTATGCCATCTGCGCGTTCATTTCTTTAACGATAGTATGGTGCTGCATACCGCTACGTCATCTACTTCGTAGAGAAATTAAGACTAGGCATTTTTCCTGTAGAAAAGTTTATGTTAGATACCTAATGAGGTTTTACAATGAAGCGAATGATTAACTTCTGTATGTTTTAGTTAAGTCAGATAAATAGTTGTTGTACCTATGTTTTAAAATGTGACGTGATTGTATTTTTTATAAAACGAGTAATTATTCATTGGTCAATTAATATTTTGTTTATAAAAAAACATACAGTAAAAAAATGTTTTTTATTAGCACAATTTTTTACAAATCAATGTCTCAGTTAGAGTCTGACACTCCCTCTTGCCCCACCCCTCCCCACAAAATGGTTTGACGATATTCGCTCCTCAAAAAAAAAACAGATTACACAATCTTTTTAAGGGTTTAAATCTCTTTATAGGTAGGCACTTACTTACAGCTACGCAACCATAATCAACGATTTAAACTCTTTGCATCACACAGTAAATAATAACAAAATTTGCGTCCACAAATATTTTATCTGTGAGTAGCCTTCGGAAGCTGTGTGTATGTATGTCACAACTGTGCGAATCTCGTGAACTATTGACACACCGGTACTGACAGCAAATGTAGTTTGTATGTAGGCTAAGATTTACAAATCGTTTTTATCAACAATGGTGGGGCTCTGAAGGTATGACCCCGCAACCTTGTATAGGTGCTGATAGTGGCCACCGAAGTAGTGTTAGTGAATAAAGGATCTCAGGGTCCCTAAGCGAAGTTCGTCAGAATAAACAGGTAGACATGATCATCGGAAAATAACAAAATATATGATGGAGGCAATGGACCTCCACTACATGAGAGCATTTTCAATGTTCTTTTTTAAATAAAGGCAATTTTTTTCGACTAGGTTACTCTTAAATTTTGCCGATTGTACTTACAAATAATACTGCAAGTCACATTACAAATGTTTGTTCGAACTTTACATTTGATCTCTGTAATTACTGCGCCTAGTTTGGTGCGACCTGACCTTACTTCAAGTGCAAAGTGCTTTAAACAAGGTGTTTATTGAAATTTTAATGAACTCTTAGAGCGATCTGTACCAACAGTTTGTTAATGCCACTTTAATAAACCGACACGGCCACTGCGAAATGTCAACATATGAGATGTTTTACTTTATTCTAAAATAAACCTTATTTTAATGAAATGAAATACAAAATTGTAACATCAAGCCATAACTCATTAGAAGTTTTTGAGCATTGAACTATTTAAATGCGTATGTAAAAATATAAATAATATGTACAAGTATCTAAATATAAAGTATGAGTATTGTGTATGCAGAGGCGGCGTAAGGCATGGGCGACGTGGGCCACCGCCCAAGGCCTCGCGCCTTAGAATTTTTTTCTTTCGTCTTCAGATCGCCATAGGAAAGGGCCTCACAAAATCTTGCCCACATTAAAATTAGGTCTTGGTCCGCCACTGTGTGTGTGTCAATAAATATTGTAAAATCCTCATTTTTATTTAATTACATAGTACATTTGTTTAAAATGAGAAGTTGATCAACTAAGTAGCTAAGTACTTATGACAAATATTCACGAAAACAATCTTCTGTTCGAAGTCTGAGAGGGCCATGCTTCGACCATCGTGACACCACGGCCTCTTAGGAAACCAGCGTGAAACCACATCAGCGTTGTTTTTCGCTTAGATTACCGAAGGCCTATTCCCTCCCCCATACCTCCCATCCCCTAAATCCCAAAACTCCTTATCCACAAAAGACCGGCAACGCAATTGCAACTCCTCGGGTGTTGTGTGTAGACATGGGCATCGCCGATTGCTTACCACCAGGTAATCCATATTTGTATGTGATACGTCGGCAAACGAGCAGACGGATTGCCAGATCATGCTCTTTACCCTTTGGGGTAGGTCTCTTCCCATAAAATGTGAACACACATACCCGTAAGACCGAAATAAAACCGTACTAGTATGAGGCACAGTATTGAACAAAAAAAAATCTACAACATCTAGAATCTAATCTTATAGGGATAAAGAACTGAAATAAAAAGGCAAAATTTGTATAAAAATGTACTGTAATCATATATATAATTTATTTATAGAATAATAAACAGAAACAACAATATGTACAATTAAAGAGAATCTATAAGAACTTGACACCTCCAATAATATTCACCGGCCGACCTTTGTATTTCTTCGAAATCTCGCTTTCGATCTGTGAAAGAGTGAATTAGTTTCAAAAAAAATTCAAATTAAAAATTGATTTTTTTTTAATTAAATTTGTTACAATTTAATTTCAAAAAAAGTGCTATTCACATTATTATAGGTAGTATTAAAATTAATATTAAATTATAACTTTCGCGATTTTTTTTTATAACGTTGCCCCACAGGATTTTCTTTAGTGTCGTGAGTGCGTTTAAAAACACATTTTCACATACATACACACCTAGACCCGGAACAACAATTTGTGGATCACACAAATAGTTGCTCCGTGCGGGAATCGAACCCGCAACACGTTGCACGGCAGCCAGTTGCCCAGCCACCGCACCAACCGTGCAGTCACCAGTTCATGATACGGGTATTAATACCTGTTTAATAATATTATTATGTTGCACTGAATATCTTCTTAGCTTATTCAATGCATTTTTCATGTGACTACGAGTACATAATGTTTAGTTGTAAGCTGATTACTGTTTCTAAGAGCAAGAAAGCGAGCGATTTTTCTCATCTTTTTATTTCATACGACTTCATTTATCGTTATATCACCATCCCTATTGAATAAATGAGATGGTAGAACAAATATTGATTCTGAATTTGAACACAAAACGTTCGTATGTAAATGTAAATTTTTTATGTCATAGTACGGCAAACGAGCTGACGGATTACCTGATGGTAAGCAGTGAGTGCCGCCCTACATGTATTTCTATATGGCCTGTTAGTACGACGTACCTGTGCCTGTAGCTCCTTGGTCCTGGCAATGATGCGCGTGAGCACGGGGCGGAGCTCGGCGGCGCGGGTTCCGGCCGCAGCGCTCTGTTCAGCCGCGCGCGCCGCCAGCCGGGACAACTTATCACATAACGCTAGCTTCTGCTTCAGCTGGGCCGTCAACACGTCTACATATCTATCGACAAAGAATTATTGTGAGCTACTTCATATTCTGTACTACAACTTCTGTTAAGTGCTCAATAGATGGCGCTAGTGCAGTTTTAGGTGTTGTCTCAACAAAATGGTTTGTCTTTTTTGGCATTCTAATGGCTCGGTGATAAAACGTAAGCGATCAGCGGCGTCTAAGGACACATCCGCACCATTAAGAGAGATTTAAAATACGCTACTTAACTGGTACAAAATACCAGTAGCCTTTTATCTATAATTACAGTAAAGAAAAAAGAAAACCAAAATGAAGTCGACATCTTGTAGCTATATTATGGTTATGATAATGAAAATAAATCTAAAAACCATCCTATCTTACCTGGGAGAATGCTTAACATTATGCAGATGGTTGATCTCGGGCGCGGTAAGCTTGCTTGCAGCGACCTGCACAGCATCCAACATGGCGGTCAGGGCCGCCGTGCTCTCCGTGGGAAGCTGTTCCAGCAAGCTAAAAGAATGATTGTCACCCGATGTGTTTGTCTCGTATAGACGCATCTTCAGGAATGATTCCAGCTGTGGATAGGGAATGAATGATCATGGTCAAACTATTAATGGAAGATCAACATTTTTTTTGTAAGACGGGAAGGATATGGTTGGTTTTTATAGGATTACTATACTACACCTACGGTAGGTAGGCAATCGGTGCCGCCCATGGACACTCTTAACCACAAAAAAGTTACAAAACAGTTAGTTAAGAGTAACCAGAGCCAGAGTAATCTTTGTTTTGAAATATATGAATACATGTTTTAAATTTAATCCGAAAAAAAAACAATTCGAATGTTCAAATAATAGGGTTAAAAGAACTGACCCGGAAAAATACATTTTAGGAGTTTCTTAGAGACCTTTTTGGCTCTAGTAAAATATACGGATATTTAGACTACTAATATAGGTAAACTAGAAATCCCGGGATATTTGTTTCTTTGTGGTGTTTACCTCAACGAGCTGGTCAATGATCTGGTTCCTAGTAGCAGGGTTGTCGAGCAGAGTGAGGGCATCCTTCCCTCGCGCCACGCCGCCACACACTCCCTGCTCCTCCACCACTATGCCTGACTCCTCAAGGGACACGTGGGCTAAGTCTGCTGATATGTCCTGAAAGAAAAATGGGTATTCATCATCATAATGCTTCGGCACGAATGGGTCGACACGACCGGAGTGATACCACGGTATACTAAGTTTTTTCAACGCATGAGAAACTATGAAACAAATTAGTAATAATTAATTGATATTTCACTCTTACAATAATTTGCAATATTACAAGAATGCGAAACGATTATTAAAAACAACTTAATTTGTTATTTCTTATACTCTTTGATAATCTAACTACTATAAGAGCTCAAGTCGCAGAAGCTGAATTCTAAGCAATGCTATACGTTTCATAAGAAACTTCTCTTGATAATAACAAACACAACAAAATAATAATCGTAGGTAAATTGGTCTCAGGCGTTGTTGACTTATGCGCTTACCAGTCCATTTTGCAATTAATGTAATTATTATTATTTATTATTTTATTACAATAATATCCCATGAAACTCTTTTGAACATTTTGTCTACGGACACAGAAGCGTCTCGAATTAGACAATTTTTAGAATTTTAAAGGAGGTTTTAACACAATTCATCGGACGAGGGTACAATGAATCATACTCTGGCGGAACGTCAAACGGACAGTTCTGCGTGCGCATTATGGTGGAGAGCGAGCGCTGTGACTGTCATATGAGACGGATCGCCGACGTCCGTTATTTTTGTAATTTATTCGGTCTGATTATAAAATCCTACGCCCTGCGATGGACTGTGAAGGCGATGATCGGAATGTTGATGTTTGTACCATCCCCCCGGTGCTTTCATAAAAATAGTTATAGAATAATATAGGTTAAGATTTACTCACAATATTCTCCGGAACGGCGGCATCAATGTTTCCCCAGTCTATCTCAGCGCCGGCATCACCATCGCCAAAGTCTATTTCTGCAGGCGCGTCGAGTGAACCGAAGTCGATCCCACCACCATCACCGAAGTCTATCTGATGATAAGAATATTCAAATTAGGTACATAATAATTGATACTCGCAAAGGAGGAGGCGGAGCGCGTGAGGGAACTATCCATCCCAGCTGCCACAGTACGCTAAGGGCATCGGGGATCGAACGCCGAGCAAGGGTAGCTCGCTCGACCAGAACCAGACCAGAGCGTATGGCGCGTAGCGTTCAGCGCGCGCCTCAATGAGCCAATAGACCACCACAGGTGGCGCCCAATAGGGCCGATGTTTAACCCGGGGTGCAAGTCAAGCAAGCGAGGTTCTGAAGGGATAATCAGAGCCGGGATAATACTAATTTACTATAGAGGTCCATTGTAAGTGGTCAAAGTAGATATTAAAAACTCGGGTCACATTTGTTTGACAGAATATTATGTTGTACATTATTTCTGGTTCAACGAGTATTCAGTACATACGAGAATCGCACATAGATAAAAATGAAAATTGAAATATGTATATTTAGGTACCTGATCTCCAGCGCCCTGGTCTTCATCATCAATTTCAATGTGAATAGGGTCAGGTTCGACGCTTAGCGGGGCTTCTCCATAACTCCACTCGTACACTGTAGTGTTGCCATGCTCTACCACAAATTGCAATAATGGCAACACCTCCGTCGCTTTGTCACCAAGTATGTATTTTGCAAATGCTGCGTATAAATCGATGCCTGGTTGCAATGGCTTCAATGATGTTCCTATCTGCAAACAAAAATTAACCATATTACAATGTACTTTAGTACTAAAGACCCGGCTTTGAGTGCAATTTAAATACTAAATTTCTCCACTCCATTTTATGGATGTTATCATTCATATAAAAACCCTCTTTTTCAATAACTCTATCTATTAGAAAAACAGCATCAAAATCCGTTGTAGTTTTAAACACGTAAGTATACCTAGGGACAGAGAAAGCGACTTTGTTCTATACTATGTAGTAATTAACTAAACATCAACCAATACTGCTATAGCCTTTCCAGAATCCACAAGCTTATGCCTTTGTTTTATTCTTCACCACTAAAAGCATATGCCTGTGTAATATGAATAAAAGACTTGGATCTTGGTTACTGGACTTTCATTTTCATATCACAGTACACAGTTGGGCAGCTCACTGCACCAGAGTTACATTATCAATGGTGGGCAGTATGTCGACCATGATATTTATATTAGAAAATTACAGTTCTAGTTGTTTACTAATTAGTTATACTAATTAGAAATGTTACAACAGCCTATACTTTATCATCTCCTACATAATTGACTAGACTATCAAAGAACTAAATATTACACATAATACTTAGTTATTTAACAGTGCAATTGTACTTACATTGTGCACCTTGTAAATAGTATCCTAGGACCAGTTAATGGGGCATTAACAAAAGGAAAACATTCCATTAATGTTAATAATATTTTTCTATAACATTGTGCACGGACCGTGTACATTATTTTATTTAGTTAAAACTAATCAACTGCTCTCACTAAAGGTACACAAACATGCAACTACAGATGAAGGAGGAAGGAGAAAGGCTTTTGAAAGGATTATGAAGATTGTATATTAATTTCGCTGTAAATGGGTGCCTAGGTATGTCTTTTTATGTAGTCAATCAAGATCCAGAATTGAGCCTTTGCGCTCAATAGACTGGGTTTCTTTATGAATGTATATGTTTTGATTGCACCATTCCCGCATGGAAAAACTCATTGAGCAATTTACAAATCATTATTACAGGTCTGGGGGTGAAATGTACGTGAAATTGTATGTTTGCACAAGCATACAATTCTTTAGGTATACACAACACAAGAGAAAACACTAAGGGTCAATGTTTTTTTTTAAATTACACTTATTTGTTGAAAATTATTCAGTTACTACTATTCTATATTTTCTTAAGTTATACTAATAAACCAACCTTATCATAAATATCTGGCAACTCCTGCAGTCTGTCCACCAGCTCCTTCTTTATCCTTTCTCCTTGAATGCCAAGTTGTTTGCACAATGTCAAGAACTCAGTCTTACTGGAAGCTTCATTTTTTAGAAAATCTGTGTGCTTCTTCCCACATTCCTGTAAAAAGTATTTTTGGTATTAGTTTTGGCTACAATACATATACATACTAGTTCAAAAATACAGTAAAAATCAATGTATTAACCATTAAGTACAACAGTATTTTTAAGCTAAAAAGATATTGGTTTCAAATATCCTTTAATCTCAAAATCCTCATTCCTCAAATAAATAAAATATTAAAAAATAATAGAAAACCACCACTTGTCACTAATATTTTGACAAAAAACCATACTATGCTGCCCAAGGTTACAGTAGATAATAATGCTTGACCACAATCCCTGGTGATTTATCACTCCTTTGGTCTTGATATCAATACAGTTTCCAATGGCCGTTTTGGATTTTATCTTTTATTATGTATGCAGTTTTTAGTTCTTTACAAACTTTTTTTGTCACTAAAAATCTGGTAAGAATGTCTCTATTTTGAGACAAGCTTACATAGTACTACATTACAGATTTACTTAAAACCCTATAGATTTGAAATAAATATTTAGAAATTCAATGTATTTGAGTGAGTATTGACTGAGTATCAGTGTATACCACTTACAACTTGCAACTGTTCTTCTTTAGCAATCTGTTTTTTGAGTCCCGGTATCTCATAATTAATATTCCTCACTAAGATCTGAGCTGCCTCTGCTAAGTAAAGGTTGTCTCTCTCGTAATTACGGGCTATGTCCTGCCAGTCCTTCATCCTTTGTGACCCATACCTACAAGAATATGAATAGTTTAGTTACAAATTAATATGTTATGCAAATGAGTTAGGTGCGGAAACTAATTTTCCTTTATTGTTGGTCAAGAAGGTGATATGTGGTAAGTGTAAAAATTATATTACATATTTCATTATATTATGAATAAAATATTTCCAATCCAAACAGCTACAATACAACATATTGCAACTTATTCTACCTTACCTTTTTCTAACTTTTAAACAGAAAATTAACTTGAACATTGTTCTATTACCTTCCAAAGAGATTTTTACTGTCTGCCTCGGTTTCTTTTAAGATTTCAATGATTTTTAAGCAATGGAAATAGTTGATGTAGCTGCCAGCCAGCAGGCTAGCTATGTCATCATGTTTAGGCATATCCTGAAGTGCATTGTTGATCTTTTCCCTTACAGCCGGGACACCTTTCTGCCATTCTTTGCTCACATGGCGACGGCTAATCAACCAATCTTGTAGTTTACCAATATTAATGTCTATTGGAATATTACTCTCCTAAAAACAGGTTATGAATTTAATTTACTATAACTTTTTACAACTATCTTTGAAGTAGGACTAACGTCAAATTACTTACATCCATGTTTAATTTACAAATTTATTTTTTATATATTTTTCACTGAGCTGAAAAGCTGAATTTTTTACACAAATTTATTTTGCCAACACCAGCTGTTGTTGTTATGACGTGTCTGACGACACATGACGTTTCTGTACAAATGTTACTAGTATAATTAAAAATAATGCTACCATTAATCCATTATAATTGACTATTGTTACTTCTCTTGACTTCTTCAACTTTTTGAGGGTAGAAAATCATCCAATGACATTGACCGGCCTAGGTTACTATCGGTCCACTTACTAAATATAAATCACCCCGCTCGTTCCGTTTCCTGCTCCGAGCCGTACCGCGGCAAGCAAGAGCAAGCGCCTCGACATTTGTGGAATCGCGCAGGAGTAGTACCTACACGAAGAGAAATGATGCTGGTATAGAATTTCGTAGTAGGTGTCTTCCAAATGCGGTATCGCATTTATTGTATCAAATTACAAAGAACACAAAAAAACTCAAATAGACTTCTTTTTTTGTATAACAGCGAAGCCCAACTTTTCATTCTGACCATTTTTGATGCTCCGTAGGTGGTTCCGTATCTGTTTCCATATTCATCTACTGGCACTTCACGTTCTCTGCATTCGAGGCATGGAGAAATCCAAGGTATAAATCGCAGTGCATGGTCGACAGTATCGACACATATTAGCACGAGTCGACGCAAATGCTGGCCTGGAAACTGCTGAGTGCTGATGCATTAGTTGCACTAAGGCACGTGATCACATTCACGACGCTTGGTGTCGGTGACACATTTTCCGTATTAATCACAAAAAATAGTTCTTCGATGGTTTCATGCTTGTCATAAAGCATGGTGATGTTCTGAAGCAATATGCTAAATTCGACGAGATCAAAGATGACAGAGGGTAGCCTGTAGGTACAAGTCCTGTGCCACAAATGCAGGCACGTCGTTTGAATCGGTCGCCTTCAAACGGATGATATTTCTCAAGCGTTCTTTTTTATTTCATCTTTCCGTCAAATTGGCATCTTGTCCAGGTTTCCAACGCATTGAAATAGCAGCTTTTGCCACTACCTACTTATATCTTTTCCCGTGAAGTTAGATTGGCAGATTTGTAGGATACTAAACTCATCTACCGGGTCATTTACTTACAGAATTAAATACCTAACTACCAACTGGTTTGCTATAAATTGTTGGATAGGTACCGATAGAAGCGAGGCCTATCAGATAATGCCACGCAATTCTTAAACTAGAAATTGTAGTTTCTGTTTATAGTCGAGCGCACACCGCACTGTAGGTACTTACTGATTGACAAATATTTGATTATAGCCGTAAGATTTTTTTTTTTTGGAAGAAATAAAATCAATTTAGATAATATGAATGTATAATAGAAAAATAACAAATTTTGTTTAACTTTCTTAATTCAGATCCATTTTCTTTAAGTACAAGAATATGTGCTCACCCCAAATGTACCAGCATGAATATCTCGATCATCACTCGATCGTACGTATAGGTTGAATTTTTTAATAATGATCTTGACGAAGTTAACTTGCAAACTCAACTTACTTTTACTGCAAAGACGAGTACATACCTACATAGATACAATACATGAGATTACCAATAGTATGTAATAAGACTTGTTATGTACATATATACTATACTTAATAGACACAGTCTCACCGTATTATCAAATGTCGAACCTCGAGGTCTTATCAACGTGCCTACCTATATACAAATAAACTATTTGCTTATCACTGTCTCCGCTATTGGTGTACGGAGTCGATAGATAACCATGCACATGGCCGCGTTAAACTGTTGCTTTATTTATTGTGGTGATATTGTGTAATTGCGTTAAATTAAATTATAATGATTACAAAATTATTGTAAATTATTGGTCGTCTAGAAAAATATTTTTTTATGTTTAAATCTCCTCACATTTAAGCATAATGGGTGATGATCAATCATTCGTAAATAGGTAAGTATACTAGGTATACACAATATGGATTAGTTTAACGTGTATAGGTATTATTTTATTATTATAAATACTGTACAATAATTAATAAGCATGATTTTGATTACGTAATGTTATCGAGTCGCATTATTATTAAACTATAAATCAAAAAATAATAGTAACCGACATTTACTTACGTATGTGAATTTCATATTCATAAAGGTAATAATTTACAGATTAGTTAAGTAGGGACCTACCTTCTCTGTTGATTAGTGTCATATAATCATCTCCTCAGTTTTTAAACAAATTAAGGATATGACCGAAATAAAAAACTGATAAGAATTTCTATAAAATTCTACCAATTAACAAAGATAGATTTTAGGTGATGAAGGCAACACCTGCACCTGCACATCTTTGTTTACTCAGATTTCGTCTTGTTTTGTGTATTCAATATTTATTTATTTATATGAGATAACCGAAGTATAAGCCGATTAGAAATATAATAAAAAAGGTGAATATTTTTTAAATAAATAATAAAATAGGTATCAAAAATATTTCTTACCTTTAAACATGCAATATTCCAAACCAAGATTTTCCATTGCCAACAAAACTTTGTAACTTTATGTTATGTAAAAATATTCAATTTATATACAATTTTAAGTGAAGTTAATAAAAATAAACAGATGTGCGTCTATTTTATCACGGTCACCTAGTATTCTAATTTTAATTTAATTTATTAATTTCCTTATTTAAATAAGTACGGTCGACGTTGTACCATTACAATTAAAATAATTAAATGTTATTAATAACGTACCAATCTGTACGTATTGTGTATCACGTCACATCACGTATTGTGCGTAACTAACTAAGAAATAATTATTAATAGTAACCATTGATGTATATTAATATAAATAAGCTGTTGGCTTCAGTTACCCCAGTGTGCAACCTCCACCCGATGAAGGAGTAATTTCAGTGGATGTCTCAAGAGACGCGCTAGTTGACTCTATGACCGACATGTCGGAAACTCCAATTCCACCTGATATTATTACGTGAGTCATAATTTTCCAATATACAGTATACTTATATTTTATTAAAGTAGTCACATTAACATGAATTCAATAAGAATTTTTGTTTTTAAAGTTAACTAAGTATTATTTTTAATATTTTTTTATCCTGAATATTTTTTTCTTTTTATTTTTTTAATATATTTTTTTTATTACATAATTTAATTATTAATATAAATGAAATGTTTCAGGTCTGTTGTTACAACTACAGAGAATGAGGATGAGAATGGAAGATTAACCCTAGCATATGAGAGGCTCTATGAAATACCAAAAACTATTGTGGAAAGGTTTTCTGACCACATCAAGTACCTGGATATAAGTCATAATAAGATTACGTAAGTGAGAATAATTTTATTGACTGCATGGTTGGCGCTGTGTCTGGCCAACTGGCTGCCGCGCAACGTGACTCGTGTTCAGTTCCCTCGCGGAACACCTCTTTGTGTCAAACGAACTGTTGTTAAGGGTCTGGGTGTGATGTGTATGTGACATTGTATGTTTGTTAACGCACTCATGACATATGAGAAAATCGGGCAACATTTAAAAAAAAGATTTCTTGTAGCTATGATGATGATGACGATAATAGAAACCCTTAACTTTTTAACAATACTCAATCATTCTCTCTTCTCTCTACACAATAATTTACATAATGTGAATACATTATCTCCACACCTATATCCTCCTTTTTGGAAAGGCGAGGGCAGTGGAATACCAGATGAAATGATTCTGGGATATCATTTTCGCTTAATCTAGATTAACCAATCTTTTGATACATGGTCTTTTTTTAACTTTTTAAAAACTTTGCCCTATATTAAGATTTTCTCCCCCATTGTTGGTGCTTTTATAAACATATAATTTCATATACACCTCAGACCGGGAAAAAAAATTTTTGTATGATATGTTGCATTGCAGACAGTTGCCCAGCAGCAACCTTGTCAAGATTGTTGTAATTATCCTTATCTGAATTTATCATTTCCAGAAACCTAGATGCTTTGGTATACTTCAAAAGCCTCACGTCACTGATAGCTGATGACAACCCACTCACAGAAAACTGTTGCTTGCCTCCGCTGCCAAAACTAGAGCTGTTGTGGTGAGTCATTCTTATTTTTTATTTGGACGTAAAACAGTTACAAATTACTATTATGTTAATACAGAGTATATAAGTCATAATAAGTTCACCTAGTTTTTCTAGATGAACTATTTAAGTGTGGGAGAGCCATGATTCGGCACGAATGGGTCGGCTCGACCGCAGTGATACCACGGCCTCACAGAAAACCGGCGTGAAACAATCACAGCGTTGTGTTTCGCCGTATGAGTGAGGTTACCGGAGTCCCAATCCTTCCCCACCCCCAATCCCTCCTCAATCCCTAAATCTCCAAATCCCTTATCCCTAAATGGTCGGCAACGCGCTCGTTACTCCTCCTTTGCGGGTGTCCATGGGCGGCGCTGATTGCTTACCATCAGGTAATCCGTCTGCTCGTTTGCCGACCTATAACATAAAAAAAAATCTTTGTAATTAAACTTTGAAGCTATTCCTAACAGTCAACAGGGAGCATGACAATCGACCTAGAGGATAGGATAGCATTAGGCTAATCTCCATATTACACTCGTCTCATGTCGAATCAACATGCTACTTCTACAGCTCTGCCTGTACCGTGGACTCCGTTATTACATTTCAAACATTTTTACATTTTATTTGGATTACATAGTCGGCAAACGAGAAGACGGATCACTTACATCCAACTTTGCCGACCTTTTTGCGATTTGCGGATTGTAGTTAGGGGTGTAGAATGTGGCTCCGGTTACCACTCTCATACAGCAAAACACAACGCAAGCATTAGGTATGTCTCTCCGGTTTTCTGTAAGGCCGTGGTATCAGATCGAGCAGGCTCATTCGTGCCGATCACATGACCCTCCCATATGACTTATTCAAAAGCAGTTCAACAATTATAATTATACATATATGTTTTGTTAGTTTATTTCAGTTCTTCATGTTATTCAGAAATTCCGTTATCTATCTTGTAGGACAAGGCTAATTAAGTTTACAAGTCAATCTTTATAATCTAAGCTGATAGTCTTAAAAGTGCAATGTTCTAAGATAGTTGTCATATTTGCTAGTTGTTGTTTTGTTTTCATATGCATTTGTATACCTACCAATTAAAATTCTTAATGACATGGAAATTAAATTGCTATTAAAATTAAGAATCTTTTTTGGTTTTATACTCTAGATTTAATTGGTATCATTTGAAATTAGACTTTACAAATCAAACAATAGAGCTACAATTCTAATGTTTGTACATTGGAATATGTTGTCAAGTGCAAAATACCAGGATGTCGATTTTACATTTTTACAAGATTTTTTTTTCTCTACATACAAACCATCCCTGGACACAAATAATTGAAGACCAAAATTAGCCTAATCAGTATAGACATTGTTGAGTTATAACATTACAAGTAAAGTGCATTGTTTTTGCTTTTTTTGCAGGTTGAATCGTTGTAAGATAGCATCCTTGTACCCATGGGTGGGTAAGCTGAAGGAGTCATGTCCTAATCTCCAGTACCTGTCCCTGATGGGAAACCCCGCTGCGCCCAGTTATTTCAATGGAGGCACTTTCTACGAGTACCTACAATACAGGTGAGGGATCATTAAAATGTCTTGATAATCTTAAAATGGCCAAAACCTTTCAATTTCTTTTTTATGGGATTAGTCGCAAATGAGCAGTGATTACTGATGGTAAGCAATCGGCGCTGACCATAGACACTCTTAATACCAAAGAAATAAGAACTGCGTTGCTGACCTTTATTACTTAAAGTGGGTTGATGATCTCCTGTGGGCTTCTAGGGGTATCAGGATTGGAGATTTGAAGATTCAGGTTTTGGGGGGGGGGGGTACCTTCAGTGCAAAAAGTGCTTTTTATTAGAAGTCTATGCCAAGTTATACCGTATCTTGACATGACTTAGTCACGTGTTCAAACGTGTTGATCTAATTTCGACTCTCTGATTGAATAGCTAGGGCTTAAAACCACAAACTTATAATAATAATAATTTTCTACTATTTCAGACTTTTCGTAATATCCCAGTTCCCGTCTCTAAACCACTTGGACGATCGCAGGGTGACAGAAGACCAGAGACTTGAGGCTCAAAGGCTTTACAAAAGACCGTTCTTCGAAAGAATGGTGAAGCCAGCCGGTCTTTCGCAGATTGTGAACACATCAGTCACATGGAACACCTTCCAGAATAAGATTAACAACTTTCTCGGTAAGGATAAACAGGGTAACCGGAATTTGTTGATATAGTAAAATAGACCTTAAGCGTTCTGTTATAGAGTTGAAACAGTAGTAAAGTCGGAATTGCTTAGCTAACTGTTCGTAATAAAGCGGTGTAGTGCAATTTAGTTGTGTAGGAGTTATGATGATACTTTTGTTTTCTGATGGGGCTATTGTTTATAAGCCAACACTGAAGACAAATTCAGGCAATTGAACAACAGATGGCGCGCTTATCAAATATTCAAATCGTGGGCCATTTTGCTCTCATTACGGTAACCCAGTTTCTCCTTCATAATTGAACTCCGAAAATTATGTTTGACAGTAGTTTGTTCGTTATAATATTTCAAGAACAACTTATACCTGGAAACGTATTTGATTTTTCGCTGTAGTATCTAATTAGGTGTAGTGTCTAATACATACAAAATAATAGTATTTTTTGAGCCCTTCCAATGTATGAACTTCAACTAAAATAACTTGGAAAACGTACCGTATAATACAGATCTATTCATCAAATCGCAAGTAACATCTCCATGCTTTTTTCGCTTAGAACTAAATTCGCCTGATTATAAACACGAACCCAAATGTATAGACAATTAAAAAGCTTCGCAAAGTTATACTATCTGAAATCTCTTACTATTGAGAACAAGTCTGAAAATCAGACTTCAAATGAAGGTTGTTAATAACTATCCTGCCAAAATATTTCTAAATCTTTGTAGTTGAATAATATTAATCTTTAACGGTCTAAGCTATAAGTAAGTATAAAATTACATAAAAAATTTCTTAAAACTCGACTGCATTTTTTTATTGTATTTATAAAAAAAATATTTGTTGATATCCAATTTCTTATGTACTATCAATAGATAATAAGTATGTTTGATTATTAGGATAAATCTAACAATATACATTGAATATGTTAAAGTCATATCCCCTGTATAAGCTACAATCTTTCTTCACCTTTCCTTACTTTACTTATCCCAAGTTATTCGAGGTCGATACAATAAAACCTTTTTTCCATTCTTCCTTATTAGACCTCATTTTATCATCAACTCCTTTCTCCTTCATATAATTCTTTATACAAACCATCTGTTCTTAATTTGAAATCTTCCCCGACATCCTTGTACATGATTTTATACATGTATAATTATGTAAATGTATATTTTATTTATAAGTTAATCATACACACTTGATAACCATTAACTAACTTTCTTCCAACAGCAGTCGGGTATGAATAGCTTCTAAACTTTTCATAAAAATTCCAAACTATATTATAAATTGTGATACTTTATCTATATCGAATAAATTTACTATCTGTTACTATACTTTAAGGTTTAAAATAATATACATGACACATGTTATATCTTGTTTTCGTATTTTATTAAACGTTTCAAATATACTATACTTATATTGTTTTTATTTCGATTTAACAAAGTGTATTATAAAATACTTATTAGGCAAATTTACAGAGAGGTATGCATAACAATACTGCATGTAACTTCCATCTTATTTAATAATACAATAACACTATTTGATAATTGTAAGAGTGATATTAACAATAGCTAGAAAAAGAGATGAATCTTAAGAAACTATTACCTTCTTAAAAGTTTAACCAACTCTAATATGACAAGATTCCTCATAATATTTACTAGTAAACAAAGTTGTAAAAATCTACTGATATCGACCTGCTAGCAGCTCCTTTAGCATATGAAAAATATCAAAAAATCGCACAAGTAAAATAACAACTTTTCGCTGAACTGCGCAACTTGCTCAAACTATTAGCGCAACTTTGCGCAATGTTGCGCAAGTACCTATTTATGTCTTCTTTAATCAAAGATCGAGGGTTGTTTCCAAGCAGTAAGATCCACATAAGGTATAGCATTGTAATCATCACATCTATACTTTGGATTGTACGTAGATTCCACTTCAAACGCTTTCTTCTGTACGTAGTACACGCTGTCTGTATTGTCGCAGATCAAACGGGCCATTGATGCCTTCTTTAGTTCTTTTAATTGATCTGAAAAGTACAGCAATTTATTATGTTTATTAAGATTTGAAGATAGGTTTAGTATATTTCTTTATTGCGATCTTTTTAATGAAGTTTGGGAGGAGGGGAGGGGGATTGGGCCTCTGGTAACCTCGCTCACTCGGCGAAACACAACGTGAGTGTTTTTTTACGCCGGTATTTTGTGAGGCTGCGGTATCACTTCGGTCGAACCGGCCCATTCGTGCATACATGTAAGTATTAATTATGGTATGCAATTTAAATAATATCCTTACATTGCGCCCTCCAAATAAATGATAATATTGTTATATACTGTACCAACAGCTTTGGCCACCCCAGTAACATTTTACAAAAAAAGATACCTAGTATAGAAAAAGTACGAAATAATCTACAATCGAACTCAAATCCTACATATTCGGCATTAAGTCTCAAACTGATTTACTTACCACTTGTAAAAGAATGCGGCATCTCCCCATTATCATAGAAGTATCGGTCAGATATCCTAGTCCTGTAGAATTGTTCGGCCACTATACATTGGAAGGTATGGCCAAGTATGGAGCCATACACGTCCCGCTCCATGGCACCGCCCACGAACAAATCTATATCGTCTACGCATTCGTACAAATACTGAAGTGCGTTTATCCTCTGGAAGAAAAAGAATTTACAAAAGTTTACTTTCTCACGTGGTTAAACAGAGAAAAGCTCTACTAGGTTCGAGTCACAATGGGACTCTAATTCATGAGCAGAGGGGGCGCCGCGGTGACGCCGCTGTTTCCGGCTGTGCTGTCACAGGATCTCTGTTAATTTGCACAATACTTATATAACAACTTGAAATTCAATAAGTTTTGTATGTCTCTTGATTGTTACTGAGGAAAGGGTTTTGAAAGGAGCTTTATCTTTTTAATTTCTATTATGAAATGTTTTCGCTTAAGTCCATAGTCACCTCTGAAAAACGAAGAGGGTTAGTAATAGGTATATTAATCATGGTGATACAACTCCCCTACTAGTGTAGGTTATAAGGTCTCTTAAGGTCCTTGCTTAGTTGCAAGGACCGACTTAAACGACTTTTTAGTTTTGTATTTACTCGCATTCTGTTCGATTATGATACGAATTACCTACTTGATTACGATGTTTTTATAACTTACATCTTGTGAAATTTCATTCGCTAAGTCTTGAAAGCATCTTGCTCTGGGTAAACCGCAAATTTCCCTGAAACATTAAAGCATTAATTTAATCACCACGTTTGATTTTTCTTCGTCGTGGTGGCTCGGAGGATAAGAGGCCCGCTTCTCATGCATGGATTCGAACCGTAGCAAGTACCAATGTGACTCTTCCGTATTATTTGTACTTTCTATGATCATTTAGAAACCACTGACAATCGGTGAAGGAAAACGTCGCTAGGAAACCTTCATTTGCCAAAAGGTCTTTCCTCAGCAGTGGGCTCCTCTAATAGGCTGATGGTGTATGTGATGAAAAAAAATCTACCTTAAGTCATTATACGATGCGATACCATGGTCCCTGCCCCGTTGTATGTCCATAGCTATGAGGTCCATTCCCCATCGGTTACGGGATTTAAACAGCAAGTTGGTGATCTCCCCTGAACAATAGGGGTCTGATTCCCCTGCATTCTGAGCTATGATCCCTCGTACAACATCGTCAAATGAGTCTGGAGAAGATTCCAAAAGACTCGGGTTGAAGTAATGGTCACTTAATCTGGAAATACAAAATTTGGGGTCATAGTTACAAAGACGTGCGATTATCAGCCGAAGGACGGGTGCAAGCTTGATAATGTACCACGGCCACGGTGCAGGAGAAGAAATGAGTCAGTAATTCTGACTCCCTTGCGCCCCACTCAGGGCAAGACAAGATAATTGTCGATTTTGCCCCAAAAAAGATGGAATTACAGCTGTTAGCAATTAATTGATACAATCACTAGTTTTTTACTAGTTTTTTTATCATTAATTTAAGGGAATATTAGTTTGAATATCCGAAGGCCAGTGGGGGCACTTAAGCCATACCCTCTAAGGCTTAGAGGTTTTGGTCCTGGAATGGCTTAGACTATAAGCCATTCAGGTTACATCATATTTCACACAGTTCAGCATATTTTCGAATCTCTATTGAGATCATGTAAGCGAAAAGGCACTCGAACTTACTTGTACAAGTAAGCCGCATTGTAACTATTAGGACAGGTCATGATATTATCGGTGATGACAGTGTGCAGAAACCGGAAGGCAGCCGCGCCAAAACTGTTAATGATCCCAGGGTTCACATCGGGATTGTAGTCTCGAGTATACAGCGTTGTTGGAGATATCCCGTAGTAGTGGAGGTAGTATTCACCTGGAAATATTTTATTGTAGTTTAGGTGTACCTACAAAGAGACAGAGTTCAAAATAATAATCGGCCCGCAAAGTAGTATCTGCACTTTTGCATTCAAAACCAGTTTGCGCTGTAATTCTGTAAAGAGATTTTAATGTTTCTTAAAATTAAAAACAAAATTCTTATGACTGAGACGCAGTTCTCAACCTTTCAAATTTGTATATGAACTGGTTGTTTTTTACATAGGACTGTTAAAGAAACTGTAGGAAGATTCCAAAATTGTTCGTAATCTACATTGCAAGATGATTTTCCATACCAAAGTTAGCAGGCAACCACTCTTGGTACGTGATATGCTGTATCTCAGCTATGACGATCCTCCTTGCTTCCTGGTATAACTTCTCGTCGCTCCACAAAGGGTTCAGGTCGCTTAGGATATCTGCTACCCGATTGTGTTCCCTCAGAAGTAAAGTGTGAAGCATAGCTAAGGTCGGTGTCTGATTGATTCTGGTATCACCTGGAAATAAATTATGGATAGCCGCAAAAATGTGGCGAAATAGTCTTTGAAATACAAAAAAAAAGGTATTTTATGAGGTTTTTCTGTTGTTTGTTCGATTTTATTTTTAATGGATTTTATTTTTAAACCGATTAAAGAAAGTCTGTTATCTACCTAAAAATATTTGAAGAGGTTTTACTAATTTTAGTTGGCAACTTCCCTAGTTACGTAATGAAAGTAAATAACGAAATTATTTTAGTATTATTCAACTTTATTAGAACCACACAAAAATACAAGTCCCTTCCGATATGAGTCCAGGTAGACGAGTTAGAACATATCTGAATACACATTGGTACAAAGTTTTCATATTACCAGCCAAATAGCAGGGTTCCGATGAGTTCCTCAAGTCACATACTGCGAACTTATCACTGACGCTGGGCAAGAATCCTCGGAGACAGTCCTTCCGTGACTCCTGGCGCAGTCGCCCACCTATCCAGCTCCTTAGTTTTGCTGCTAATTTTTTGTCAGAGCCGTAGATTGGCGATCCGTCTAGGTAACTGGTCACTGTGTTCATCTTAAAAGCAATCGGTTCTCATCCAGTATTTTAGTGGCAATATTATTTAGACTTACATAGAAAGACATTTAATAAAAGCCATGTTTTATGAATATAGGGGTCAACGAGCAAATGGAACACCCGATGGACACCTGCTATTCCAAATCACAACATAAGTACGTTGCTGAATTCTCAAGGACAACATTCTTTTGCATACCTACTCAATGTCTCAATAGCCATCCAGACTGCAAATGGTCTTGATTAACTTTAAAAATAGATATAGACTAATTTAGTAATTACGCTTGGGGAAGTAGCAAACCAACTTGACAAAGTGCCTAAATTAAATCACTTACTAAAGTGGTAATTGGGAACGATGAGTTTAAAATTGAATTGCTAATTGGGTACATTGTTCAAGGAAATAAAACAGTAGAAAACGAATAAAGACGTAATTTTCAATAATTTTTTTAGAAATAAACTGTGAAGCCAAATGTGTTTGGCAATTTTTTTTTATTTTTTTTTGTAAACAGTCTCTACTTACCTGTTCAGCATGACCCAAACTGCAATCATCTCTAGGAGTGGTGACGCTTCGAACGAAGTTTAAACATTTGATACCATGGCATCTATAGAACTGGTCGTCGTCAGGCACCGATATAGGAATACATTTATCGTTCAGCCATTCTGATGGAAGTATGCCCTTGCCTTCGCCTAAGCAACATTGGATCCCACCTTTGTCTGTGAGAAAGCAATTATGGGGGTTTTGGTGTTCAATAAACCTATTTGACGTTTTCAAAGACAAGACTTTTAGTAGTACCTAAGTATACATTCTATTAATTAACTACTGCTAGCAAGCTGAAAGTTAGTCATTGTTAATTAACAAGAACAGCACATATCTATTGATCTGAGCAACATCAGCACATATCTTTTGATCTGAGCCTTTAGCTTTGATTTAAAAAGGGTTTATTCTAAATATTGCTAAGTATGAGCAAGATATAAGATTCAAAGTCTACATTTACTTTAGCAAAATGAAACTAGGAATGGCACAAGGCTATCGCAAAATTTTCTGATAACAGTCCATCTACAGCTTAGGTAAGATTAAAGTATAATCATAACTATGTTACCAGTAACTTCCATAACTTGGAACACCAAGTCGTGTGTGACAAATTGTCCCCACTGCATGTTCATATTATTGAGCACACGGCTCCCAATTGGTTGGTCTTGGAACAGCCTCGTGGAAAGGACGCGAGGATTGGGAAGTTGGTGGCCACTCTTTGCTACTGGCATTGCGTATATTCCTGGAAAGTTTAGTTTAGAAAGAAAGAGAAGATGATAACTATTATAGCATTACGAAGTGTAAAAACAGCAGCTTTTCTTTTTTTTTCGCTTAACCCCTACACACTTGTGGGTACCTAAAATGTATGTAACGAGAATATATATCTTCGAACAATCGTACACAAAGTATTACCTAATATCATATGGTATGTTTTTGCCACTAACATAGTCCAATATTACGATATCATATGCGAACGGTTTTTTTGTGAGGGGAAAATCATTAAATGTCTTCTCTGGCCTAGGGTGTGACGAGAGTGTCGGTCTCATGCTGACTAAAAACCTCTCGGTTCCTTCTCCTGCTCTAGGCCTGACTGGCTCTTTGAAGCGCGCCCGGAACGCAACGCGCCGTACGCTCGGGTCTGGTTCTGGTCGGGCGGCGAGCTACTCTTACTCGCCGTCCGCTGACCCGAGTTTGCGGTTGCCACAGATCGTATGCAAACGGACTTACCCTTACTTCAAATACTTAATCACGACGACTAATGCCTACAAATCATAAAGAACTACAGTAAATTGGTTCTCCTCATCACACCCACCATCAGCATACCGCGGTGTTGCGATCCTGGTGAATGGTGCTCCTCTTCTGCCCCACTCAGGATGCTCCTTGTTGTTGCATGTGCCATCAATAGTCCTGTACTTGTTGTTGCTGCTGCAGCATACCTTCACTTGCTGGCAATACGTAGCGTCCTTCATTCGGATGCCCTGGTGCTCCAAGAACGATATAAATGTGTTTGGAGTTACGCTGCTGATTGGAGAATGAAGTTGGTGAATAAGTAAGAAAATATGAGTGCTTTATACTAAAACTTTTTAAAACAGTCTGGCGTTAAAAGGATGGAGGATTTCAAGTGTATTGTTTTAACCTCTTAATTGTGGCAATTCGAGACACATAAGAGGAACAATAGGGGACATTTTCTAACTCATCTTAAAAGTAAGTCAAATAAAGATAAAGTCAAAAGTAGCATAATACCCAGAACACATTTTCATCTGTAGCAGTTTGGTAGCGGAAATAATCTCATGAGATACATCGGAAGCTTTCCTGATTTCCGAAGGTAATTTGGCGGAAAAGAAATGGAGCATTGCAGGGCTAGAATCCTCCAGACTGACGCCATTGCCAACTAGCTCGTTGTTTCTTCGAGTTGCCGCTCGGGAGAGTTCACGTCCTCTTCGGATGCACTCGGCTACAAGTTCGGAGGAGATCGGAGACTCTTCTTCATCTTCTGTGTTCGAATTACAAATTCTTATTTATTATTTTTTCTTTAGCCATAAATTATGTAAGAGTGTAAAATTATGTGGAGTTTCTAAGAATATCTAAAATTAATTTAACTATCGAGTAAAAAGTTCTTGAAGTCGATTGTTAGTATCGATTTTAAATTTCTTTGAATGTAGCGTCAATTCTGACGAACGGGAATCCAGCACTATAATTACTGTCACTACTATTTGACATGTTTACCATGCTTTTGCTACAATGTATCTAGTTGTTAAATTATAGGTCTTAATACTTTTAATTATAAAAGTCCACGTAATTTTTTATATATAAGTATAGGCACATGACGAAAATTTCTTTACTGTTCAATCCAAGGAATTTTATTTCAGGCAAAATGTTGCCAAGTTAAAATAACAAAAATTAGCCACAACTCACCCATAGAATAATTATTTATTTTAAGTAAATCTTCTAAGAAAGTTCTTGTACTGGCCAGTAAGGGGGACACATCAGGGAATAAGTCATCAGTCAAAAAATTCAAATCCCAATCAGTGAGGCAACATCCACTGGTATTTAGTAATAAACACAAAAAAACGGACACACGCAAAACACATCTGTAATCACGAAATATTGTAATCACTGTCATTGTAACTGGCACTCAGAGTAATGAACATAGGATTGCCGGCATTAAATATGAAAAAGAAATTAGAACTTTGAATTTGAAATTAGAACAACATCGTGAATAAAAATATGGAACAGAAATGGCATCCCTTTTTGTTGTAAGTTTAATTCAAAAGTAAATTAGATTATTTATTTTGGTTGTAACAATTCCAATTATTACCATCTTATCATGTCACGTACATTACGCAAAATTTGTTTGGTTAACTGTTTGGAAGGATAAAGCATGTTTATGTGAATATTACTTGCATTTTCACAATACTTACCTACCAACCTTTATTTCGTATGATTCATTTGATTACCTAAGTAGGTACCTACAATTATACCTACATACGTAGCAAGTATGGTATATGTATAGTAATTAGTAATCTATTTTCTAATCGTTGCTTCACTGCAGTGTAATAACATACTACAGGCGAGTTTTTATCAATTTCACTATACACTATACACTATACGACCCGTATATTAAAATGTAGGTAGGTAAAAGATTATAAATCGATTGATAGTAGAAAATGTAGGCGAATTACCTACTGGCACTGTTCAATTAGATTTATTACTGTTATTGTTTGGTTGCTTGTTACTGTTTTGTCGATTCAAGTTTTAGTATCTGTGTAGACTGTATAATAAAAAATGTTATAGGCACGGTACCCACCACAGACGGGACCCTATTTACCCTGATGTTCAGGCGGGGTTGCGGGGTAAGCGCAATGAGGCACCGTGGTCCAGAGCAGGAGAAGGAACAAGAGAAGGGGGGAGGGGTTAGTCAGTAAGAGTCTGACACTAACTCCCGCCCAACCCTGGGCGGGAGAAGTCAAGAATGATGATTACGCTTGCCCCGCAACCGGCTTTTATATCTACCGTTTGACGTTTCCGAATCGTCAAATGTCTTCCCCCGTCTATTTCACCCCGGGTGGGGCGAAAAGGAATGTCCCTCTTACTCAATAAAAACCATCCCGCTCCTTCTTCTGCTCCGGGACGGGGCCGCGGTACATACCTAATTAGATGCACCTCAACCCTTAAGCTAAAGAATTCAGAGAATTGACAAATAAACATCACAATAGGTACTGTAAGTAACAAAATGAAAATACCAAACAAAATACAAACTTAACCAAAACTTTTATTTAAAATATTCACAATTTTTATTGTTATTAGATTTCGTTCTAAGTTTTTACATGCGTGAGATACAAGATTAAATAATGTGCAAACTTCTGTGGACTCTATCACAATAAGAATATACCCAAGGACTTATAGCTTTGGAGGGACGGCATTTGCGCTTTTGGGATCCGAGGTGACCGCGAAAAAGCATTCTAAATATGTCTTTACACGTTCTGATTGCCGGGTATCTACCTACGGTAGAAGATCCTGGTTCATGTGAAAGTATGACTGCACTGGTAGACCGGCTGCTCAAAAATAGAAACGTTGAAGGAGTGCCTAAGCCTAATAGACTTTTCCAAAATGTCTATGTTTAAGTATATGTCATGTAGCCAATGATGTTAATGTTCAGCGCCGGCGTAAGGGCCACTGACACCCCTGGCGAAAATATTGTGACGCCCACTTGAGGGAAGCAATATCAAGCGTCAGTTTTTTGCTGATCCCAAGTACAATTAAAAAATATCTCAATAAAAATATGCATATGCACAGAGCGTAGAGCACAATTCTGAGGGTTAGCACCAGGAAAGGCAAGAGACTTCAACTTCAGACCTGGGCGCCCCCAGAATTTTTCGCCCTGGGCCATCGCCCCATCAAGCCCCTAACGCCGGCACTGTTAATGTTCAAATGATCTCCTTATTCTTTCACAGAACATTTACAGATACCATGCGCTGGTATTAAGGTATGGAGTCTGTTCAAGTACCTACATAATCAAACCTTTAAAATATAATCTTCGTAGGTATATAGTTCAATGAAAAGAGTATGTATTGATCCGACAAAAATTGCGACTAACATGAACATAATCCAATCCGTTCCTAACCTTCCATTTTGTTTTCTGTATTAGCTTTTACTTCCATATGACGTCACTGTGTAGGTATCCCACCCGTCCATAATTCCAAGAATTGACTTAACCTTGTTTTAAAAACGGAAAAACGATAAGTAGTGTAAACTACAGCTTATCATGGTCGTCAAACTATTTTTACGATTACAATAAGCACAATGATATTGCATAAGTAGGAAATTCTATTACGTTAGCCTAAAGTGCAAGATGTTCTTTACACAAAAATATTAATAAGTATTATTATGTACCTAGTATGTATATGTATATACAAAGATTTTTATTGACATTTATTATGTCGTTAACCAAACACAAAAATTTTGTAAACTTGATTTTGGAGAGGACTTCTCACCGAATTCGATTCTGTCTAGACCTAATCATTTTCCATAACCAGTTCGGAAAAGTAAAAAAAAAGCAGACTGCGGGCATTTTTTTTTATAACATAAGTAGGGTTAGTAGGATTCTGCATAGAAATGTATAAAAATAAGCTTCATTTTAAGTATATTTCGTTGACTTTTCACCTGCATCAGGTACCTACATGATCACAAACATGCAAAATAAAGTGAATGACACTATTAAAATCGTATTTAAGTAGTTTTAATACTTAATAATAAAACCAACATAGGTACTATAAATTGAAGACTTATAGAAACGTGTGTAATAAAAAAGTAATTAGATGCGATAAACAATCTATGACACATCACAATTAGGTACCTAATCACGAAGAATTTAGTCTATATTTTTGTTGCGTCATGCTTTATACTTAGGTAGTTATATATACAATCTTTTTTTATGATGTTAAAGCCGCGAAACTGGAAAAAAAAATGTGGTAAGGCTGTAAATTATGCCGATTCTAGACAAGATCAGCCAGGATCTTGTCTGCCTTACTAAAAACATCTTTAATAGATCTTAACTGAAACAAAAAAATCTGTACTTAGGTACGGAATCGACACATAATAGTTACTGTTATTCCCCATCCTTTATCAAACTGTGTGTCGGATCGCACATCAACGCGAGACAATGTATTTTATTTGCGCTCCAAAGTATCAATTAAATACATAATAAAGTACCTATAGTATATGCACACAACAGTGTTATGTGCCTACACCATTTCCACTTATATCTCAATAAAAACTCAATAGCGTTTTATAATTTTTCATTTTATGGCAACAAAATAAAACATTACATGGCACATATTATTTTTTCTACCAAGCCAAGCAGCTAATTACAAATTATTTCAAATAAAGAACACTGATACCAACTCAGATTCGATGTATGTGGAAAAAGGTATATCGTTTTTTATAACACGGTATATCGTATTTTATAGGGTACCTATCCTATATAGTAGTAATTATTCAGCTATATCGTATTTTAGTAATTACCCTTTAGTAATGTATACTTAAATAATTATCTTTTTTACGCCTTCCGCAATTTCGTTCTTTTAGATAACAGTAATTAAGGTAATTAAAGAAGTCATTATTCCATTAAGTTTTCGTAGATCGGAAACGGACTCGTCAATATCCGAGTTCTCTAGATCTGATTTTCATTGCTTTGGATCCGACATAGCTCTAAGTCTGCCTAAACGTACCGATAGCAAACAGACTTGATATTGGTTTAACAGACTATCATCTATTTCTATCGTCGTTTTAGGTGGTTACCTAACTTTAGGTAAACAATCTTGGTACATTTTTTTTAGATAAAATGTCCTTTAATCTGTAGCGACATCTAGCGCACTACATTAACAACAGCACCAATCACGTGCAAGATTCTACATCGCGGTATAAGAGTTCTCATCGCAATTAGAACCGATACAAAAATCCCGACACGCCAGGCACGAACACCTCACCTGGTCGGAGGATCCTCACTTTTCTATGGAGGATGAGGAACTTTCCACCCTGTTCTCTCATACCTCTAAAAATCTAAACGTTGTCTGTGTGTCAAAATTTTGGGAACTAATTATTTACATACCTAAATCGATGTTGGCTAATAAACTAAAATGAAATAATCTTTGTACATATGTATTTTATAGGAGCTCTTTAATATAAAATCACAGACCAAGATTGCTTAAGTTAGTTACCAAAACCGATAGACCATAGTTAGGTAGGTATTGTTCTACTGTCACTAGTAACCTTGACATATGATACAGTTAAGAGAGGTCAATACTTTTACTTACACTGTCAATGCATGTAAAGACGGACAAAATATTTAATTTACATTCTAAATATAGACTCCAACGAATACCTAATAGTTCTGAAAGCTTTGGAAATAAAATCAAGGCTGTTGTACTCCAAAGGGATGTGCAGATTCAGATATTTACCTACTGTTAGCGCATTTGATATTCAGGTACGAAAATAAAGGTTGATTCAAGCCAAAAGAGGGACAATAATCATAGGGTGGCTACAGAGTTAGCCAACCAATTTAGTGTGACTAAATTTGCTGTCTCTTTTCTGAGTCAATCTTTATTTTCTTACTTGCATTCTGTAAACTGTAAAATTATACAGGGGGGGGGGAGGGGCATTTTGAATGAGGACATAATTATTCAAGGAGCCGTATTTGGTATTCAATTTACAACAACTTTCTCCATGGGACCAAATATCTCATATATAAAATTCCCCCACACACATCGCAAAAGCTGCTTGATAATTTTGTATGTACCTACTTAGACTTTTTACTTTTTGAGATTTCAATATTGGTCTTCCTTGGAGAGAGTTGTTTAATTTGAGCATCAGAATCGAGTCCTTGAATAGGTTTGTCCCTCGTGTGCCAATGTCACACTGTATCTTAATGACACACACAGACACCACTATTTACAAATCGACTAATTCTAAATTATATTTAAAATAAAAGTCAACAACGCTATAACAAAACGCTCTCCTATATTACACACATTAAAAATCTATAAAATATAACAATACTCCTGCCCTCTAGCGGAGGTTCACAATAATAGTGCGGATTTCATAATTTAAATAAACTTTGGCAGAATATCAACAATTTAAACACTGTACATAGCTATCCTATAAGTTAATCCTACCAATGTAAGCTAAAACCTAACTTTTTTACATGTACAAATGTTCTAAAAACTATGTCCCACACCTTACTGCTGATGCCGAAGGCTGTAACAAAAAAAAGATTAAAATCAATACAGTATCCTAAAAGTTTACAATATTGTCTGTCACACGTGCTAAACACACATAGGTATTTTTATCTACACGTACATTTTATTACGTTACAGAAGTGTTCGAAAATTTTCGAGCTACAAGGTAACCCGAAATTGGTCGAGCATAATAAACCGTAAAAAAAAATATTGATTGGGTATTTTTATTTAATTTTATCCATATCAAATTTGGATGAAACTCCTAATAACTAAAACCTTTTGTGTTGCCAATAAAAAAATATTTAAATAAACTAATAGATAAAAGAAAGTAACTTAGGCAGGTATTTCCAAACACATACCACTAAAAAAAGTTATTATTTATTTATCTAGCCATGTAAGTTACACGCCAAGATCAAAAACACATTGATAAAGTTATCAGATGTGACGTCACAGATAAAATAAAGTGTAACACCAAAATGTACCCATCAAATAAAATTTGTAGTTCAACGTTTAACTTTTTATCTTTTTTAAGGAATGTTAGGTGAAGGCGTGAACTTACAAAATCAAATATTTTGATCATGGCACCATGTTCCAATACAAAAAATCCATCCATTTACATATCTATTATTTGCATAAAACTGGTTCAAATTGTGTTAGAAGGTTCCTTTTTTACCTTACAACAAATATATCACATTGTATTGTGTGTATTTTTAAAAGTAACTCGGGACATCCATTGTAATGCTTTCCAACCCTCCCTGCTATACAGGTTTGGAATCATAGTATCATCCTAAGATCATAGTTGAAAATTCTCAGACGAAAATCATTTTGGGGACAGAAGAGACACTGTCAGGCCCCTACTGAGTAAAAACCATCAACTTCGAATTCCTGCTACGAGCTGGGGTCGCAGTAACTAATGATGCCTTTACCTCGTCTGGTTGCAAAATACCCGGGGACGGAACCGAAGCGGAATATTCCTAAAATTTTCAGTTAATTTTTTTAAGGTGGGCAAGCTCGCTTAATCTTTGTAAGCCAGATTCTACAGTAAATGCAACCATATACCGAAACGCTGAAGTCCGACGCGTCCCTGGGACGTGAATTGAAAATAAATAAAGCACATTGTACCTACCAATTAATTAGTGTCGAATAAAAACTAAATATTTTCTAATACTTCAATAGTTGTCCTATATTCTTAAAAGTGACTACAGATTACCAAAATACTAACCTTTGTCATGGTTGATAAAATGATGATTGGAGTGGTACCTTTTCATGGCATAGAGATAGGTACCGTCACGGGGCGAGCCATGGTGCACGTAGTAGTGAATCATGTCGTACGTCAGGTACCCTGCGAAGATAACAGAGATAAGAGGCAAGGAAATATGAGTATTTAGTACAATCCAAATGTACTATATGTTTGACAGGCATTTTAAATTGAAATGGTGCGTTGCGTTCGAATAAAGAGCCAAAATCTAGTACAGTCACTTGAATGAAGGATTTACTAAACTGAGGATTAGAATTTACCATTAATTATAAGATCATAACAATACTAAAGCAGTCTCGAGTCTCGACTAAACCTTAGCATAACGTTTATCAAGTCTACGGACAGCAAGTAAGGGTAGCTCGTCGCCCGATGATTTTCTCTTGACCAAAAAAAAACATAACGTTTAAAGTCTAGACTTTAGGTAAGTACAGTTTTCGAAAAGTAAAAGCTAATCCGGCTTTGACAACTAATAAATTAAACAGACCATTTTTTTGGTTTTGAATTATACTCCACATAAATCACATTCTTTATCTTTCTATAAACTGATCTTGGCCTGACAGTTGGCGGTAGGGTTGACTGTTAATACTTATGTTCCTATTAGCCTAAATTAATTTATGCCTCATCCCCTCGTCTTCATCTACCAACATATGTGCTTAGCAAAAAGCATCTAATTTGACTGCAAGCAAACACAACCGACTTCTTGACCGATTATGTTTCGAAATTGTCAAGCACAAATCTCGATAATTGCTGTTTCAAATACGACTGTATTTTTTAAAATTCAGATTTAAGAACTTATATGCATTCACGGTAAAAAATCCAACTTGTAAAAAAGCATGTAAACTGAATTCGGAAATCCTCTATACTAGAGACTCGAGGGGTCTCTAGTTTTGATATTCACCTAATAACTTTTTATATGATTTTTAATGAATAAAGTTACATAATAATTATCTATAAAATCTTATCTATACGTGAAATAAACACAAGGTGACGAATAGAGAGATAAACCTACTTAGTCGTAATATCGGAATATTACCATAATCTTTTATTTGTCGGAACCGTGCTAAATGTCATTTAAGAGAACTTTTCTACTTCATATCAAGGTAAAGGGTTGTTTTATAAAAGACATGAAGTTGGAAATAGTCAGCGCCAAAAGTCGATGAATAGAATCAACTTAACAAAACACCTGTTCACAATAAAACGCCATAAGTTATAGTCGCAACTAGTAAACAAAATAGCTTGTGCACCAGAAATTTACAAAAATCGTTAAAAACGACTATTTCAAAAGTATCTGTGCACTAGTACCTATTCCTAAAGTCGCTGTACACCACTGTACCAAACGTCACTAAACAGCAGTAAAGACAAAATTAGGTTAACAAAGTATATTTTTAATGTTGCCCTGTATTTATATTCTTTTTATTGTAAACAAGTGCTTTGTTCAGTTGATTCTGTTCATCGACTTTTGGCGCTGACTGTACCTCGGAACCATATTATCCCTAAGACAAATAAGCAATAGTAGTGGTGGCTCGGAGGTTAAGGCGCCCGTTTCTCACTAACGAAACCTGGCAATGCGTTTCACTGTGATTTAGTTAGGGAACTTATCTACTTTTTTTTAAATACAAATTTGATGTGTCGTGCTGTTTTATGGCCTATAAGCAAAACTAAATTCATTGTTTTTTTTATTCTTGGCGTCATTATTTCAAGTTAAACGTCATTCGCATCGCAAACTATTCAATTGCAAATTACCCAATCACGTGATACACATAACGTTAGATATTATGTTCCAATTCGCGTATATGTATAACACGTCGCTTCTATTACGTACGAGACGTATTGACGTCTGCCAAACTAGGGTTGTCCATAAATATTCGCGTTCAAATCATTGTTGACTTCACATTTGACGCGGTATCTGGACCACCGGCTGCCGTGCAACGTGTTGCGGGTTTGCTTCCCGCACGGAACAACAGTCGTTGCCATTGAATCCACGACACAAGACAAAATGTGACGTAACATTAAAACAAGGTGTAGAAGCGTCGCCGAAAATAAACAATTGACCACAATAACTTGATTAACATAAGAAACGGAAAATAAGCCGTTACTTCGCTTTGAGGCGCCAAAATTACTACTTTATATGGAAAAAGCTTTTACAAAAGAGCCGATATGAACATTAGAAAAGTCATTCAAATAAGTTATTAAATTTAACGTAAAAATTTTCTCAACCAACGCATGACAGTAAGAGACTCGTGCAACCCTTTACTGCCCAACACCGATTTGCCAACAAACTGCTCCCATTTTTTCCTAAAACACCTACACATATTTATATCGAACATAACCCTAAATAGGTTGAGAATGAGAAATGTATTGTAACGTCTGACGCAGACCTCCCGCCGGCTTGCTCATCACCATACATCATTCCAGTTCGATTAGGAGTCTAATAATATACGAATGCACCAGTAATTTCACAACACATAACTACGTACCTACTTAGAATTCTCTGTACACAATGTAGATGATTCGTTTATCTTAAGCCAGGCGATTACAATCCTAATATGTATGATTGTATAATTACTGTTATCCGCCAATTGACAATAAAACCTTAGTCATGATGATACAAGGCAATTTTAACATAATGTAATGAACATACCGTGTCCGAATGCCCATAGTTAATGAGCAAGTACGATTCACGGACGTACACGTATTTGAAATCATAATGTCTTCCTATTGTGTGCCTATGTGTCGTATACAAATAAATTAAATAAAAGGCATATAAATTAGTCACTTACCAATAAGCCCTCCAGTAAGTTTGATGAAAGAATAATCGAAGAAAAACTGCAATATTGAGTATATCACGACGGCCAGAAGAAACGCTGGTATAGGCGGGAACACCTGGCGAAGCCCGTCGAATGGAACCTGTGGTATGAGAAAGCGTTTTAAGGAATATATTTTACACGCGCGAAGCATTCGCCTCCAGTTTTATAATCTGGATTAGATTAACACTAGTTATCATCATGATGATGTACTTGTAACTGAGCTCAGGTTAAGTTTAGGTTAAAAGAAATTTATTATCATAAGAACTTAAATAACAGTTCACTTAAAATGAGAGAAGTACCTACATTATATAGATAGATACATAATCTATATTTCTATACTACTAAAGAGGTAAAATTTGTAAGTTTGTATGTTTGTAAGTTTGTATGTAGGGGGTAATCTTTGGAACCGCTAATCGGATTGCCAAAATTCTTTCACTGGTAGATAGCTATAATGTTCCTGAGTGCTATAGGATATAAAACATCACGCTACGATTAAATGGAGCCGAGCAGCGGGTGAAACCGTGCGAGAGTAACTAGTACCTTATAAATACCTATATTTATAAATATCAGTATTGTATTCTATGAATATTGGCATGCGCTGTTGTATTGGGTTAGAATGGTTTGAATTCCTGTAATGATGGTGATACGTATGTAATCCAATAAAAAAAACATGTTTAAGAACTCACCTTATGATGCATTCCATGCATGAGAAAATGTAACCTAATCATTGTTACTGAAGATCCTGGATTGAGATGGAACACCCATCTGTGTAGACTATACTCCAGGATAGACCATAAGATAATCCCTAATACTATGTGATAGATATACTGAATATTTGAGAGCGGCGTCTGCTTGCAGGAATCTGGAAAGATATAGAACACATTGGTGAATAATTTTTCAACCTTATAAGCTGCTTAAAGTTAAAATTATCGTGAGGGCCCGGAGGGGAAAGAGCCCTCTTTAATTTTTGTCAAAGTACATTGCTCTGCGTTTCTTCTGTGTTGGCCCTGGAGCCAAGAGCATCGGAAAAAATGTATTGTAGTCTTTACCATTAGTAAACTTCTATACGATCTTATTTTTATAGCGGATTAGCTGCAGAGTAAATATATGAAAAAAATCAGATTTGGAGGTTATAATTAAACCAAAATAATGAACTTCAAGTGTTCAATTCAAAGCTCTCTATAATTTTTAAGAACAGTTCTAAATAACTATCATTAAAGATACTTCTGAACAGTTTAACTACCTATAAAACAAGCCATAGGCCACCAGTCACCAGACATTAGCCAAAAGGGTGACTACTAATGTTATTAGTCAAGTAAAATACCATTAAAGGCAATTTGTAATACATCTTGTCTGTTGTACGTTAAAAAATGTTGGCAACTTAAATAATAAATAGACCATTAATTACTGCATTCAGTACTTTCGATACCATACCACCATACCATTAATTACTGTACCTATTCATACTGTATTCAGATACTCTTTATTGCACAGAGCCAAGAACGAACCAAAGGCAATGTGTTTTGGTGATTAGAATTTATCGTTTATAATTTAAATGCTGTATGGTTTCTGCTTAGCCTCTGATGAGAGCGAAGAGTTTGTTTATGTAACTCGTTATTTTACTACAGAATTCCCATTGCATAGGTTCTGATTTGTTTCTTTTTAAAGAAGGTTGCCCCTTTCTTAATTTTTTCCTGTGTCGTAGGTGCGTTTACAATATACAATTCAGGCCAGACCCTAAACAGTTTTTGGATCACAACAAGAGTTGTTGTGTGCGGGAATCGTCTCCGCTATATGCTATATGTTACACAGCATCCAGATGCCCAGACGACGCGTGATCATCTGTGCTGACACATGACATTTTAATCTGTCTAGGTATACATTATGGGTAGTTCTTAATTTGAATCTTAAATTACACATCATCAGCCTGTAAGCGCTCACTGTTGAGCAAAGACTACTTCTCACACGAAGAAAGTTTGAGCATTAACCACCACGCTTGCTCAAGGCGGATTGGCGATTGTAAACTTATAATTAGTAGATAATTATGATTTTTGGTCTTCACACAATGGCTTCCTTCACCGTTTATCAGTGGAGTCTAATCAATCTTAGAAATTACCTACATTATTCATAGTTAAATCGGAAAAAGTGACATTGGTACTTGTCAGGTTTCGAACCTCCAGACCACCACGACACGTATAAATGGGAAGTTCTTAATTTATATCATTACACAACAAAGTAATAAAATTAATAGACGACCATGAAGTATATTAAATAGCATAGCATACAATCAAAATTGTAATCAACAAGATTTACAATCAGTATCTAGTATCAAATAGTCCAATTAATTAATTAACTCGGTCCATCGAGGCCAACGTTTAGACTGAACACAGATACAGACATTACTAAAATTGGGCAATATAGTATACAATATTGCCTTTATAACCATAGAGGAAAAATCCCCGTCATTCGCTTGACTAAATTCAAGCTATATCTGGAGCCCATAATAAATATACGCCACAGTTAAGTATAGAAATGTCCAATTGAACATTTCTTACGATAATACGAATTATAAGAATTATTATGTGATTGTACCGAATGGCTTCACTAGCCATGCCCATGTTTCTTTTATACATTTCCATCCAAAGGTTGACTGGAAGAAATCGCCTTGTGTGATAAGACCGCCCACAACATTCTTTTATTGTACCTAACGTGTTTCTGCTTAGTAAAATCTATACTAATATAATAAATGCGAAAGTAACTTTGTCTGTCTGTCTTTTCTTCACGCCTAAACTACTGAACCGATTTCTGTGAAATTTGGCACAGACATAGTTTGGAACTCGCAAAGGACTTAGGATACTTGCACGGTTCTCTCACATTATGTTATTTTTACATTGTCTGGACTTGAAAAGAGACTGACCTCTGAGTTTGTTTCGGCATTTCTTCTCAGAGTAGTCAGATAGGAAATGCCGGCTTCATCTAGTTTTTCATATATAAATTGACGTGTAAAAGTGCCGTTTTAAGGCCGTTTTATTTGCAAAAATAAATTCATTGTTTCATTGTTTATAGTTTTTATATCAAAAATCTGCAGGAAGTCACTATTCCACGCGAACGGAGTCGCTGGCAACAGGTAGTACTTATACATATAAAACTGAGTTTTAATTATATAATAAAAACATACCTCCACAAGCAACCAGCTCTATATACTGTGTTACTCCAAGGTACAATATGATTGGCACCCAGAACATGGGCACCAGGTACCAAGGTGTGTATGTGAGACTCTCCAGCACGGGGCTGGCGAAGAGCCTGCACTTCCTGTAAACAGCCGAGTTCACCCACGTATCATAGTGAGGGGCGATGGCATCCAACTGTGATAAAAGAGGTTTCGACCAGTCTAACCGCGCCTGGAACAAAGGAAAATATACATTAGGCATTCGAATGGGTCGGCTCGACCGGAGTGATACAAACTCACAGACACACACACACACACACACACACACACACACACACACACACACACACAAACACACACACACACACACACACACACACACACACACACACACACACACACACACACACACACACACACACACACACAGTTTTTTCGTTATTCTTTTTTTATTTTATTTCTCAAATAAGTACCTACATAGGTACTTTTACGACATAAAAATGTTTTATTAGAGATAACTGGAGCCAGCCAGGCTGACTTTTTCAACCGCTTATTCACTAAATGCAGTCGTAAAAATGGTAACTATTGTTAATGCGTTAAGGTCTACCGGTTGTCAATAAGCTTGATTTGAATATCGATAATGTAATCATTTCACTTATTGTTTTAGCATTCTTTCTACGAACTAGCTACATATTATAAAAACCCCAGATGATATCAAGGGGAACGATAGTTTTATCAGTATCACATAACCTACCCATCTATAGTAATCTATATAATCTCAAATACCCAATATACATATCTAAGTACGATCATACTATGTACGGAAGTAGATACGAAAAAAGATAAATACCTAAAAAATACGTAACCCAGAGAAAAAATGCGCTACAAGATTGGATCTTATCACTAAGATCTCGTTAACGCATTTGACACGTCGCGCGGCGCGTCGAACAGTTCGACATACATTGAAAAGAAATAGTTTTTATTAGCGTCTAGGCCGCACATAAGACACAGAACAAACAAGTGTTTAAACACAAGAACAAAAAAAAACATTAATACAATATAAAAAAGAGTAATAAAAGGAAAAATATGCGTCACAAGCACGCGAAATGGCCCTCGCTCAGCATATGCAGCGACACTAAGCGAGACAGTGTCGCAGCGCTGATTTTCAGCGATGGCCGACAGCTAACATCTGACGCCATTGCTCCTAATGTTACTATATGTTTTTGTTAGTGCGGTCTATGACGCGACCTGTAGAGGCCTACTATGACACGATAAAGCGTGAATCTTCCGGGCGAGAAAGAGGGATGGAACTAGACACCTTTTATAGCCCTCTGGCCCTCTCTCTTGCAATTTACGACGCATGCTAAACGCCCGGTCTGAAGCAGGAGAAGGAGCGGGGTTGTTTTCGTCAGTTAGAGTCTGATACTCCCTCCCACCCCCACGCAAAGTGATGGAAGGTACATTAGGATACTCATGTAAAGAGAAACTATTTAGCTCTATAATGATACGGAAAAAAAAAGACATTTATTCAGCACCAGCTACGACGCACCATATATAAAATATAAAAAAGAAGAAGTAAGACAAACATGAGTTAAAGATTAAAACAGATGAAACAGAAAATAGACGCTACAACATGCCCATGCTAAATGGGTTACCCACTCAGTGTAAGCTCGGCATACAAGTCGCCCAGCACTGATTTTCAGTGGGCAGCCCTGCAGTGACGCACGGATGGTAGCAATAGCAACGATATGGCGAAATACTAAATTTTTATAGGTACCTACTGCGAACGAACATGTATTATTGGCAGAATGGCGGTGATGTGTGTGCAAAAAAAAAATTGATATTGTGTGTGGTTGTTCGAATCGGATGAAATCATTTGTTTTGTAATTTTTTTATAGAGAACTGAGTTTTGGTAATCTAATTGACGATATAAACTTTTACGAAATTAGTATCCACAGCATACATATAACACAGATGTATTAACAGATTGAAGCAAAGTGTGTCGCGCATGAATTATGAGCCCCTAGCGTGACTTGAAGTCGAAACTAGTCGAGTTGTTCTTCAAACGCGAACATGAGTTAAACATTAAAGTTAATTTAATGATTGTTGTTATGTCTATAAGGAATGTATTCTGGATCTATTGGAAGATTTAGAGATCTTGTATTAAAAAAAATTATAAGATGTTTTTAAAAGGAATGCTTGGCACTCATACGCAATCAGGACGTGTCACTATCAAAGAGGATATAACCACGTGGATTATTACTCTATGGTCACTATATAACACAGACAGCAAACAGAGTTGAAGTCTCCCGTTCAAAACAGTATCTAAGCCACATTTTATTCTAATAACATTATTAACGCGAGAGTAAGTATGGATGGATGGGTGTCTATTATTTTTCACGTAAAAAGTTAAAAACTACTGAATGGATATTTTATAAAATTTGAAAGGCTCTCCTTTTAAATTACCTACATTATAGTCTGGAATGTACCCGTACCAGTGTGACTTTTACTGAGTTATTTCCGACACCACTGTCAAACGATGAAGAGAACCATCATGAGGAAACCTGGACTTAAAGTTTTTAATAATAATATTAAAGTTGCCAATCCAAATGTCTTGACCATGCGTGATGATCAGTGCTCAAGCCTTCTCTGTGTGAGGAGAGGCCTTTGCTCAGCAGTAAGTACTTATAAGCTGATGTTGTATCAATAAACTAGCTATTCTCGCGCGGTTTCACCCGCTGCTCGGTTCCATGTAAGCATAGCGTGATGTTTTATAGCCTATAGCACCCAAGAACATCGTAGCTATCTACCAGTGAAAGAATTTTGGCAATCCGACCAGCGGTTCCAAAGATTACCCCCTACATACAAACTTACAAATTTTACCTCTTTATAATACTAGTATAGATTAATGCGGAGAAGGCCCGAAGCAAGACATTCAAGACATAGTAAAAATACGTTGGTACTATTCAATATTTCGGTTGCTATGATAGTCTTACTTATCAGTTGTTATCAACATCGAAATATGTCGATAATTTGATGAAATGAATAACGTCGGTATTTAGCGGTTAGCAAATGAAGTGTGTGCATCTACGTACCCACGTATTCCATAATACTTAGATGTGGGTACTTTTTTATTACCAGGACGTTTAATAGGGAGTTTGAAAGGCCATTGAGGTAATTCCAAATAGTATTTCCAACTTGGAAGTTGTCGGATCAGAAAGTCAAAGTCAAAAAAAAAAGTCAAAAATCATTTATTTCAATTAGACCACAGTAGGCACTTTTGAACGTCAAGCAAGCAAAAAAGGAAAAAAGTATATAAAAAGAGCTTTAAAATTAAGCGTGTCAGTCTGTCCGTCTGTCCTCTAGTGAAGCTATTTGCTCGTTTCAAAGTGTAGATTCCTATGGAGAAGAACGAGCAAGAAACTCCTTGGTTACTCTTTTTCAATCATATGTGAGAACAATGTAACACTAATGTTCAGGCAAAAAGTACGAAAAAGAAGTCAACCTCAAGGACAACATATTTAGACAGAAGAGTTGAACATCGAGCTCAGTGGCGTGCAATTGGGGAGGCCTATGTCCAGCAGTTGGCAAAATCAGGCTGCTGATGATGATGATGATGATGATTAAAATGGAATGTAAAGTTGACTGCGAGCTTGCACATAATTATATGCTCGGGTAAGTGATTTATTCATGAAAAAAATTAAGTTTGCAACACAAAAAAAAATTTTTTGTCCTCCAGTTTAAAAAAATTATTATGTTTGTATATAATAACTTTGAAGTAAGGATTGTATAAAAGTACTTATTACTTGGTCAGGCTAACTAAAAGGTTCTAAAGGTTTCTTATTGCCCCTGTCGTCGGTGTGATAAATTATTTTAAGATTCTCCATCTAAGATTCTAGCACTGCATTCCAAATTTTGCCAAGATGAACTAGATCGTTACATCTCTTATTATAATTTTAAAGAACATCAGCTGGCCTGTGTAGGCGTTACCGAATTCCAAAAACTAAAAAATCTAAGTTTCTTAACTTCTGACAGGTAAATAATAAATGCGAAAGTAACTCTGTCTGTGGGTCTGTCCGTCTGTCTGCCTTTTCTTCACGCCGAAACTACTGAACCGATTTCTGTGAAATTTGGTACAGACATAGTCATTATCACACATAGCATCTCTCCACGCGAACGGAGTCGCGAGCAAAAACTAGTGCAATAAGTGCATGTAAAAGTACTTACAATCGTTATCATTCTTACTATCTATCTACTTCCTCCTAGTTTGATGAATGTAGCACTTACATTGTTTTGTTACAAGCATTCAGTTCAGCTTATCAAATGCGTAGGCATTATAATCCTAAGAAACCAAGTCATTTGTACTGGTAATAATTTTAAGAACCTACTTGATTAATACTTAGAACCTGTAAGGAACATACAGTGAGAGAACCTAGGGTTGCAAAACGAATTCTCCGAATACGTTGGCAAAGGAAGCTATGGTCTATCGGTTACTAAGGGTAAACAATCTTGGAATGTCTTTTTATATAAAAGAGGTCGTATAAATTACATACAAATATTAATTAAATGTAATTTAGGTATTAAGTAACAAACATCGATTTAAATAAATACCTAATTAAAACATTTTTACATACAATTTTTAGACAACATTTAGATAAAAATAAATGCCAAAATTTTTTACATTTACCATAGGTATCTACTATATCTCTTACCAATTTTTCAACTCTTACAATTAAATATTTCAATAGTCTGAATAACTACCTCTGTGTTAAAACTTCCTAAAGATTATCTATACTTACATAAAAAAATCAATTATGAATATCAAAGAAAAAGTAAAAACCTTATTTTGGAATAGTTGGGCGAGTAGACCGATTGCCTGATAGTAAGAAATCCGCCCATGGACACCCGCAACACTCAAGGAGCTACGAGTATACGTTACTGGCCTGTTGCGGATAAGGGTTAAGGTTATTTAAGGATTGGGAAGGGATGAGCAGAGGGGGAGGGATTGGGCCTCAGGTAATTGAACTGCTACTTTGAAACATCAAATTAAATAGGAATAGATTTCGTTCGTCAGTGTGTCTAGGCGTCAACAGTTTGGTTCGTTTTACATAAGCATATAGCAAAACAAAAGCTACAGTGCTGTATAAAGGTGTCTAACATGGGCCTTACATTATCGCTTAGTATCCTTCTAGATATCCTACAATAATGATATTGTTTCTTAGTCATCTAAAG